AAAACAAACCATCCAATATATTAGACGTTAAGTACTTTGTCAGGCTTAATATCTGTAGATACCCCCAAAGCTTTTTCTTATTTAAAAGAAGACCTTAACCTAAAGTATTCTTTAATGTTTAAATAAAGCCTTATTAGTTTGTCTGTTTTGCACGTCCTCCTATCAGGCACTAAACTGTTTATTGTAGAGATCACTTACAGTATCTTCTTGATATTTTCTATTCTATATTATTTATATCATTGACCTTCCACTGTCCCACTATATTAAGAGTATGTACTCTTAATATTTAAATGTTTTCATCAAATATAACACATTCAAAAGTGCTTTACAAAAATGAAAGACATTAAGAAAAAGGCATTTTAAAACAGTCATTAAAAAGCAACACAATCTACCTGCATTGCAATTACTCTAAACGTGTAATAACGTGCTTTAACCAGTAGGAGGTGCGGGTTAAAAAGCTGTCAAGTTTACAGTGTGTACAAAATAAAATATACTGCTGTTTCTGGTTTAGTTTACGACGGATATATTCTGTTATTGTTTTGATATTTGTAACACAAAAGCGATGTAAAAAACCCACAGCAACACAGAAAAGATGGTCTTAACATGACCCAGCGGTCTAGTAGTTAATAAAAAACAATAATATCAAAACAAATTATTACTACTAACTTTATTGTGAAATTAAAAACCGAACGGTAAAAGAATAGTTTCCAGTCTATTCTGAGGCCCGATCTCTGTAGATAAATAAAGAACTACGACAGATGTGTAATGTTTAATGCAGCCAAACCATTCATTACAATGCATTCATGTGATGACTTTCAAAGAGTAAAGCAAGCACTGCTGAATAAAGTATAATTTGATCTTTTACGAAACGTTTTTTTTCCATATGGAATGCAGTTGGAGGTCAACCAATCACAGAGCTTGAGGCAAAGCGGAACAATAGCTGAGGATTCTGGGTAGTGTAGTGTCTTCGGCCATCCTAAACTGTGAACACATATTTGTTTTCTCCGAATCGAAGGGGAAAATTACAAAAGCATTGCACACAATTTAAACCAATCAATGTTGTGTAATTAACAAGGATAATCTGGTGTTTTTGAGTCGATGAGTAGTGCAGATATCACTGTAAAATCAATCGACAGTAACGGGCCGTCTCCACGGCAGCGTTAAAAAATCTTGGAGGTGGGCGTATCTGAGGCTTGGGGATTTTTTTTGCGATCAACCAATCACATGAATCTCCCGCCCGCGACATATGAAGCCAAAAAGCCCGAAGTAAACTGGATATAAACTCCCCCAAAACAGGCGAAAACATACCACTGTCTCTGCCACCTCCCTCCATGCCTGGCTCCTCCGGTTTATATCCCGGTAGGTCTGGTCATAAAGCACCGGGTGATTGATTCGCTACCGCTAATTTCTCCTCCATGTTTTGGAATATGAGGAAATGACCTGCGGTCTGTCTCTCCCAGCATACACGCCGTTTGATTGGCTAGAGCTTGAACTGTCAGATTTGCGTACACGGGATTTGATTGGCTGACGCTTCCTCCTCAGCTTCAAAAGTTGAACAATGTTCAACTTTGGATCTTGAAAATCCTGAGAATCTCCCGCTCGCCTGCCCACAATGCATTTCGGCGAAAGCGAAAAAAAAGTGACGTCACCCCATTCAAAGTGAATGGGCAGAAGCGTTTCAAGATTTTTTAACGCTGCCGTGGAGACGGCCCGTAAGGAGAATACTTACTTCCGGGTGTAAAATGAATGGGAATGGACGCTCACATTGCTCTCTGTGTCCGTAATACAATAAAGGGGAGATGATCAAATAGGAATATAATTATCTTTTAAATAACGTTAACTAAAGGGAACAATCTATTTGACACAGCTGAAGCTCTGGCCTTCCTTAAAAACGAACTAATTTAATAAAAATCACAGTTGTAATACACACAATGCACTGTTTTTTGAGAACAAAATTCGTAACTAATGCACCATAATACATTCTGACGAAAAATAAAAATGATTATGAATACAAATAAAATAAAAGAAGCCTCCCGTGAGTTACTACAAGCTATAAAGTCGATTTTAAAAACGTTTTATAGAATAAAAGCTCACTGCGGGACGTTGTAGAAATGCGTGTGTGCACCACGACAAAGGAGCCTCATTCACTTTACATTGGGGTTGTTTGCGTGGTGCAGACACGTAAATGTAGCAAAGTTCGTGACTCCACCACGCACTGCGGTGTTAAGGAGTCGTGGTGGAGTCACGCATTCTGGTGAGACCAGGTTGATAAAGGAGTGCCTTGGAAATATGTGTTTACATAATTTGTAAACACATATTTGTTTGAGACCCACTGAGATGACTTAGACTAAAATTAACTATCTAAACACTCAGAGAGTCCTTTACCTCACTGAGCCTCTCAGTCTGACAGGAGAGCTCTCCTCCACCCTGGTTGTAGAAACATCTACTTCTTATATCTGTTAGCGCAGCTAGCACCAGATTCTAATAACAACAGCGCCGGTACCAGTGCGCCCTCTCTCTCTCTCCCTCGCTCGCATCGCTCTCTCATCGCTCCCACGCTCGCACTTTGGCTGTGAGCTGCGGGTGCCTGATAAGCCAACATCCCCCACTTTCATCACTTACAGCGCCCATCGTACAGGGCAAATGAAAAGTGTAACCGGGGTGAAAAGGGTGTTACATTTACTTAATTATGAATGTTGTTACATCAAGGCCAAAAATTAGGATGAGCGCCAACGGTCAAAAATGTTTTTTCTCCTCCCAGAGCTACCAGCGCAGCGCCCCCCAGATCTGGCGCCCCTATGCCAAAAATCGGCCCTGCCAGTACATACAGTGGCAATGTCTCCAGATTTAGCAAAAATACACCTTTATTGAACATACAGTAACACAAATACTACAAATCCACATAACAAACAATCAAAAATGAAAAAGGGTCGCCACTTATTATTATTTTAATAAAAAATAAAAAATAAATATTTTTATTTTTTTGGGTACCTGGCTGGCGCCCCCTAGCAGCGGCGCACATATTTCAGCAGCGGCGCTGCGCCGCCACTATTTGTATATAGGGGAAACACTGCTTTATATATCTGCCTTTGTAATAATGATTGTTACATTAAAATACTAACTGTGATATTGAGTCTGAACAGTGGCGAGCTGTGAGCTTTATACCTAGGCCCTCTGACCCCCACCCCTTCCCTCGAAAAAAAGAAAAAAAAATAGTTATTACGTCACAGCGTATACTTCAGCGGAATATCAAAACAACGGCCCAGGGTGCAAAACGCATCAATGACAGCGACCCTCTACCACACAAAACAACACCTGTGAACCCAATTTGTGTTCTTTGACATTGAAAATGATATTGCATTGTGTTTGTTACTTTCGTTGCAGTATGTCTTAAGTGTAATTTGGCATGCTTTTATTTTGAAGTCGAGTTCACGCTGTTGACAGGAAGTTGTTGTTGCTATGGAAACAAGAAAAGTTTCACAGCGGTGGAACTTGTCATAAAGTCCGCGATAATAAACCCACCCATTTAGAGGGAAGATATGATTGGTCAATTGTACTGTCATTTGACATTACTCTCTCGTTCAGTTACTATAGCGGGCCCTCTGTGAATCGCAGAGAGGCCTGCTAGTAACTGACATTCAAACAGAGACTGAACAGGCAGATTCGAAGGATTTATTTCTTTGGAAATGTTATTTTATTAAATCAAGTTTTTTTTCGGTAAAACTAATGAAAAATATAACAAAAATAATATTAAAAAAATATATATTTAAAAAAAATATATATTTTTTTAATGTTTTTAAATATTATTTTTTGGAATATCTTAGGCCCTCACAGAGGGCCTAGAGGGCCCTGACGGCTCGCCACTGAGTCTGAATGATATTTAGAAGGATGAGAAAGAATTGATACTAATATGTTAATTGTACTTGTCTAAAAGAGTGGCTCAAAGTCAGCCTTCTGTGTTTTATTTTAAAATGTCAACCTTCTTCAAACTATAACCAGCAGTATTTGTGAACACTGCTTTCAGCCAATCCCTGGATTGTTTGCTCCAGAGCTTTTCAGTGTGATTTTTGCCACCGTAATAAACCAGTGTAAAAATTGACTAAGAAATAGATGATGGTCTCACATTTAGTATAATGTTATGTCATTTGTTTTCTCAGGACTTCATCAAGCAGAACGGTGAACCGAAAGTAACTTCGGGGAAGCAGGAAAAATATGAATCCATCTTCAATCACTACATATAATAAAAGCACCACTCTTCTATGTCTTCTGTGGCCTTAAACACAGTGATGTAAAGGTAAAGACCTTTTTAATTTGTAGATTTTTCACAAAAGAATAACAAAAATAGATGCTGAACACTGCAAGTAGAGAGGTCAAATAAAGGATCCTTGACAGACTAACAGACTTCGATATAATATTTTAGGGATCTGTGTATCAGTATGTAATTGTAGTGCTTTTGACATATTATCTGGTACTTTATTCACTGAAAGGCTAGTTTCATTAAGCTGATGTTTACTATGAAATAAAACACATTTTCACAATGCAGTTGATGAGTGAACATGATTATCTTACACTACCCTGCTCATATGTCAAACAACATAAAATGACCCTCGCCTGAGTATAAACTGTATATATATATTATATATATAAAAAACAAAATATTTTAAGTATGACGACAAATAAGACTTAAACAGTATATCACAATCAAACATTACAGCAGTGGTTGTTGCAGACACAGCTCGTGTAGATCTTCACTATAATGACCGCACTTTAGTTGCATTGAGGGCCCCACCTCTTTTAATGGGGTCTCATGGGCATTAATAGCTTGCATACAGTATAACAAATTTGAAAAAAAGTATAAACTTTATAATTTATTGTTTTATTTGAAAAATATACCAATTTAAAACAGATTATCAAATCTAAACACATCTTTGCCTTCGCAGCAGCCCACCCGCCCCCCCCACCCCACTCTGGAACTCTCTCCCCAGCCACGTCAGATCTGCCAACACTCTCACATCATTCAAACAATCCCTCAAAACTCACCTTTTCATTCTTGCCTTCAACTCCTAATCCACTAACCCCTCGCCCTTATTCCACCTAGCTTAGCACTTTTTAGCTTTGTTAAAATGTTCTTCTTTACTTGCTTGTGGATCGCTTTGAGCACTAGGAAAAGCGCTATATAAATCAAATGTATTATTATTATCTTTGAAGGATGTACAGGGGCCTAATTCACAAAGCTTTCTAGTACATGATAGGATAAAATGAACCTTCAATAATCCTGTTAATGGGATTCAGGTGTCATAGCAGCAACATAATAATAATATTAGCTAAACATAGGGTAGTACATACAGGAGTTCACGAAGGGATAATTAGAATATACACATACACTGTGCCAAGAACAAGTATGTGAACCCTTTGGAATGTCCTGGTTTGATGCATGAATTGGTCATTAAATGTGATCTGATACAAGTATAGACTAGCAACTAACTGTGCTTAAGCTGATAATACACAAGCATTTATAATATTTAATGTCTTTATTGAACACACCCATTTAACATTCACTCTAGGGGTTCCCATACTTTTTCCAACCTACACTGTGAATGTTTGTTAAACAGATTTAAATGCCAACATGTAGATACTGACCAGCAGTTGAAAAAATGTATGTAAGTTAGCCATATCCAATTTTTTCTGAAATACATAAGTGCTAAAATTAGCAGCAGTGTAAAAAGTAAGATAAGCAAATAAATAAAACAAAGCTATATGTGAATAGGCTACTCCGCAAGTAGGCCTGTTTTTTCTAAAGATTATGCCTATCGATTCCCCTGTCTCACTCACTCGCTCTTTCATTCAATAAGCATGGGTGTATCGCTCCCACAGCTAACCAATCAGACTCGCCTCATCCCCCACAAGCCAATCACAGCGCATCCGGCAACATTTTGAATCTGTTTAAGTCCACCTACATTTTGTATAGTGATGCTGAATTTTTTTAATGACATCCTCCTCAAGAGGGCATAGGAAAACTCCCACAAATGGAAGAAACCTTGGGAAGGACCACAAGTGAGGAACCCCTTCCTGGGCGGACAGGTGCAGTGAGTCCTCTCAGTCTCATATTGTTAGCTTGTGGTTTGTCGCGGTTAAATGTCTAGCAGTGGTGGAATTGAACTGATTACATTTAATGAAATACTGTTCTTGTACTTGATTAATTATTTTCATTTTATGCTACTTTATATTTCTATTACATTTTACAGGCAAATATTATACTTTACTACACTATATTTATAAGACAACATTAACACTACATTACACTAAGGTATTAAAACTTCTACTTAGGTATAAAATATAAATACTTCTTTCACCACTGCTTTCTTAGTATTAGTAAAGGGGTAATCCATGATCTGGACAGTAGGAATCTAACAGGTCGTAAACTACATTATAAAGGTTGCAGTCATCGGCTGGAAGGTTGCAGTCAGGCGCCATGGAGGCAATGATTTGAACAGGAAGGAGGATACAAAAGGTAATGTATAGGATGCATATCTGCCATCTAAACACAAACACATAACACAAAAATTAGTACAGGATAGGAAATGTTTTTGTTTTTGATAAGTTGGTTTCTTTTATGTTCACATGTTTTAGTGTGTTGTGTGATGGAAAAGTTGCTTACTTGGATTTCTTTGGGTGCCTCTCATCTTTCACATCCTACAATCACAACAGAAAGCATCAGTATATATGATATGTTCTATTACAAATAAAACTTAAAGGAGTATTGTGACATTTTGGGAATTTTGCTCGTACACTTATTAGATTTAGATAAAAGATTATTTCTATGTCTGTCAGGTAGATTTAAAGCCTTCCAAGGAAACGACAATCTTCTCTCCGTTTATAGGTAATAAAATCTGCCTATCATCACCTCTAACATCAAGTTTTCTCCCAACTTTCATCTCAAATGTTTAATCCGAACGAATTTTCTTGGCAGTAGAAAACTCCAAACACAAGTCTATTGTTTTTCTGGTCAACCAAGTCTGGTGGCACCAAGACTTTGGCTGTAGTCTTTATGCTAAGCTAAGCAGCGTCCAGCTCCAGCTCCATCTACATATTTATTTCATATAACTATTACATAACTCTCTGTAAGAAAGTGAGGCTTAGGTTGACACAGACAACTTATCTCAATATGTTAGCTAACACTGGAAAGCAAGTTAAGTTGGCCAAAGGTTCACAGCTGCCGCTAAGGTTAGCAAAAGGCTAAACCATTGGCATAATTTCTCTACATATTTTGAATAGCTTAGTCAGCAACACATTAAGCGTATTAGAAACATTTAATCTCCACTTCTGGAATAGTGTAGCAGTTTGCCTGAGCGGTAGGCTAACCGCAGTGGAGCAGCCACGACTTTTCTGTTAGCAAGAAGCTAAGCTAAACTATTAGCATCATTTACTTTCCATCTTTGAAACGATTCACCAGTAGTGTAGCTTACTAGAGCCTCAAATCACATTTTATAATTAAGTAAAAATGTAAAGTTGAGGCCTTACTCTGACACTTTAGCGACTACCCTGAGGTGATTTGGAAATGTATTTCTCCTTTGAAAGAGTTGTTTTTAAGAAAGCAAATATGCGTATTAACCAAAATGTGGAACTTATGGAAGTATAGCTGGTAAAATGAAGCTGTTACATGTTTGATGTCACTCCTAGCATGATTATATGTGTTTCATAGCAATGATTGGATATTATATTTACCATAGCTGATGACCCATGTTTCAGTCTTACTGTTGATGTTGATGAGGCCTTCTGTGCAGATCTATCAAACCAAAAACAGGCACATGTGAGAAAACAAAATACTTCACACAAACATCTTCTCATTGTCGTTAGCCCGGCTACAAGATGGTCAAGATGAATATAAACCCATGAAATTAAATACATTCAGACTGGGACATTAATAATTACAATATCGGCTTCAACTTGTTCAGTTTCTCTTGAAGTTCTCGCTGTTCCTGATAGAACAGATCCTGCAGAAAAAGATGAAATGTAAGAAAGTCGGCATATCAGTATATAGCCATTTAAAACAATTTACCAAAGGGCTTATTAGGGTCAAAATACCAAATGTTACTCTTATTTACTTCTTCATTTGTAAAAACAAATAAGAATAAAATAGAACAATAAAAAACGGGCTTCTCAAATTGAAATCCAATGAGAAGGGGTGGGTCTTTAGCAGCAAATAATACTTTACAAAATAACTGGTGGCATTGGTAAAATAAATAAATTTGTTTCATATCAGTGATTGGATATTATATTTACCGAAGCTGAAGACCAATGTCTTTTTGTTGATGGTGCCTTCTCTGCAGCTCTATCAAACCAAAGACAGGAAGGTGTGAGAAAACAGAAAACTTTACACAAACATCTGCTCATTGTTAGCTTGGCTTCAAGATGGTCAACATTAATATCAACCCATAAAATGAACTACACTCAGACTAAATTATTAGTAATTACAAAATCTGCTTCTGCTGTCTCTGTTTCAGTTTTTCTTGAAGTTCTTGCTGTTCCCGCCTGAGATCCTGCAGAAAAAGATGAAATGTTGATAGGTTTCAGTCATATTCATTCATATAGCCCATTTAACACACACACATCATACATCGTACCTACCTCTATGGTGCTTAATCTCTCCCCGATCTGGTTATTATTTTGAATCAAGGTCCAGGATATCTGTCAGACACAAAGACAACTCGGATGTTAAAGCACGTGAGAGACACTTCACAAGAGGATATTTTGAAGATTTAAAAAAGGTTTTCATACCGTGTCCACCTCTGCATCTTTTCTTTGTAGTTCTTCCTGAACCTGCTCAAGTTTGGGCTAAACACATCAAACCAGATTCAATATGATATTATAACAAAACTGAATGGATATATATTATTGAAAGAGGAAGCTGTGGTAGAATATTGTATTGTTGCATTTCATTAAGTAAAAAAAAGTTTTACCTTTGATTCCTGCTCAGCTTCTCTCAGCTTTTGTATTTGCTCCTTATCATTATTTCCTTGTGAAAGTTGTTCCAGCTGAAATACAAGCAGCTCAGAGTGAGAGTGGTATTCAAAGAGGATGGCAGAAAATAATGCGACATCTATTCTAACATTAAATGCTTCTAAGTGCTTTCAAATATCAATGTTTAGCTGTAAAATTGTGAAAAAGACACACATAGATTAGTAGATAGTATTATGTCAGAGTCAGTGTCATACCTCAGCAGTCTTCTCCTCCTTTTGCTTCCTCAGCCACCGAGTTTCATCCTCCTGCACAAACAAAAATAAATAATTGAAGCAATGCAGTAAATAACACCAGATTAGGGGGACGTTTCAAACTGGTAAGATTTGGTTTTGAGACAGCCACACTGCCATCATTTTAAAGTCTTGTTTGCTTTTAACCTCGAGTTGTGTGTTAAAATACATATATCGGAAACTCTTTGCTGTTTAATATGGCCCCGCTGGCCAAAATGAAATTGTAACCACTCAGTGCCATTTGTTTACCTCCAGCCATGGATTTCACAATACCAGACATCATGATTGTTTAACTTCACTTAATACCAAAATTCCGTACAAAATGTAAACTCATCATAATTCATCTTTGTTATTTATCAAAGCAGGCCTGTTTACATTTGTTAACAGCTAACCTCACTGTCCTCCTGCAGATTTCAACACAGATTTGCAGAGGTGGGAGAAGTACTCAGATCTTGTACTTAAGTAAAAGTAGAAGTATAAGCGTGCAGGAATACTGTGTTACAAGTAAAAGTCCTTCATTCAAAATGTTACCCAAGTACAAAAGTATTAGTATCAAAATATACTTAAAGTAAATGTACTTAGTTACTTCCCACATCTGAAGATTGGTAGTTTTAAATGTAGCAATATTAGGAAATAGTCCCATAGTAACTGCTGTTCAGTTGAAAAACCTGTACTGTCTTGTTTTCTGAATTTTGGCACTGACTTGGTACTTAACCTGTTATTTTGACACTCTACTATCATTTCCATTACTGCATTAAAGACAGGAAGGCAATCATAATGTATGAACGGGAAAATAACTGTTAGCATGTACTTACCACCTCCTTCATATAGCTTCTCCGCGTACTGCTTTCCTCCTCCGACATGATCTGGTGTCTCTCCTGAGTTTCAACATCATCCCTCTCTCTCAGTTTTCTTCTGCTTTCCGCCTTCTGTTGGTACCTGAACACACAACCAACCACATGTAGTTATGGGTATGAGACTCACTTTTTTTATTTTAGGATTTTAGAGCCAAGCAGACTCCTTAGCCATGTTGGCCATACAGGAAATAGTAAAGTGTAGTTAGTTAGGGGTCATACTCTTTCTCTGTGGTGGTGAAGTCTTTGTTTTCAGCTGCTATCTTGTTCATCTCTGCCTCCAGCTCCTGTCCAAGCTGAAGCCGCTGCTCAAAGACCTCTCTCTTCTGTTTGTAGGCCTTTTCCAACTCCATTATTCTTCCCTTGACTTCTTCTCGTTCACTATAGAAAGAAAGTTTTTATATGAACAGGTGTCTTTATGGCATATTGCCAAACAAGACTTAACAGACAATACAAATGTTGCCTTAAGACACATACTCAAACTCTTGCTCCTCCCTTTGTTGTTGCTCTTCAGATATGTCCATGATCTCTTCCAGATTGATAAAGTGCACTCCCTGCATCTGGTCGCTGTCCTCCTCTGAAGAGTCTCTAATATTTTCACAATTGTCAGACATGTTGCCCTGGTTAAGTTGTTGTGTTACCTACCTGATCAGCTTACTAACTGAAGTGTTTCTCCTCTGAGCTACAGTCTGTCTGCTAAAGATTCCACATTCTATGACCTCACAAAGCAAGGATTCTGTAGTCCATGGAGAATGTAGAACCATAGAATGGAACACAGAATGTTCCCAGAATGTTCCCCTCTCCAATCCAACACGAGTAGTTTCCCTGCTTATAGAGTACAGCAATATACGTTTTCTAGCTACCAAGTTAACTTCCTGATTATGAGGCCCACTGAATAGCAGTTTCCTCTGGGAATACAAATACACAGCATATTCAGTGCTACCTTGAACATTTACATCCATCAATGAGTCTTTTAGTTTTTAGCATGTTAGGACCTTCTGTGAATCAGTTACAGACTTGTGATTTAGGAATCTGGAGCCTTACAATTGGTTTGTAACGGCAATCCGCATTGAAAATAGCTTCAGTGGTATCTATTTATTTAATCCCATATATGCATACATCCAGATATTTTCTGGGTATGAAGGTTGAACTGCACACATTTTTGAAAGCCAAAGAGTCAAACATCCATGTGCAACATCATCTCGTTGAGGCCAGTCTTGGCATTTACAAAACTCATCCACCTTTGTAAAATGAAAATGTTGTTGCTAAATGTATCTTTTATAAAGTGCAATAAAATGGATATGAAGAATACCTCTGCAATACATATGGATGTGAAGGGCAAATATAGAGAGACTGTCTTATGCTCACATATGTTGCACCATGTACTGTAGGTGGAGAGTGGTGCCAGCTCCGTCCCTCCCCTGGTCTGTTGTGTACATGCCTTTTAAACAATAACCACAAAGCATAATGAAGATTAAAAAGTAAACATGTAAACATAAGATATACATAAAGTACAACGTTTCATTTTCATTTCACATGAGCAAAATGACGCGCATCTCTTTCAGTTTTTGGTTATTAATGTACAGTTTATTTCAAACGACGACAAACTTAAAAAACTGTTGTTATAAACTACAAACATGAGCAGTTTTTTACAATGAAGTTCACATTGTCACTGAAATATGAATAATTTATTCATTTGGAAAATTATAATGTCAACCAATTTAAAAATCAGTGTCAAAGGTTTAATTAAATATTAATGAATGAATAAAAAGAGTAAGGAAATACCATTGCTGCATATTAAAGTCAATACTTAATTATTCCATCGGGACATTCAGGCATGTTCATTGTGTATTTTGTGTCAGTTGGTAACTATTAATAATTTTGGAATTTGGCCTACATTCTTAATTAATTCATAACTAATTGTGTGTGTTTTTTTCTTATTCATTCCTAAAGTATGTTTGAACATGCTAATGATGTACCCCTCTATAGCCAATCTTAATTATGTAGGGGTAATAACCTAACCCTTTATTCCATTTGCATTACATTTTATTACATGTTTTTCTTAATAATTGGTCATTTCGAAGTTGGCAAGAGATTTGTTAATTGTGTTGTTTATATCCATATACATTTTGGATGCATGTATTCGTTAATTTACACATAAACACTTTCTTCTTGTACCAAAACCGAATACTCTTTAGTTGCACACAACCTTACGCTCACAAACAATGTAACATGTATATTTTAAAGATGTTGTGTTGTAACTGGGATACATATTGCCTTTTTGTCTCAGTGTACAACTGGTGTTGTCATAAGATATCTGGATGGAGAAGGAAAATAGCAGTTTATCAGCAGAGTGATTTGTCAAATATAAACGATCTTTGGAGTAGGTCCTCTGTATGTAAGCTCTGATGTAAGCTAAAAGAAACAGTGGCACCTTACAACTGACATCACATCATACTACCATCCTGCCAGCCAGCTGTCCAATCACAGGCCAGTGGGAGGACCAGGGCCGGCGCAGCTGTCCAATAGGCAGATAGCGCGAGCTCTGCTCACCGTGTCGTCGCTCCTGATTTGCGGGCTGAGTTATGGAACAGGCGGGATGTGAAACCACCCAATCCGAAGTCGTGCGTGTTTCTCATTATCATAAAATATTCAGCAGCATCCCTCCGTCTGTCTGCCAGCAAGTTACAAAGGTATCTTTTTATTTGGGGTTTGCCGACGTTTTTTGTGGGCACCCTGAGAAACAACATGAAGGATTATTATTAATGCATGGGACAATTCTGTCTGCCTAAACAAAACCTGATTCTCAAACCTGTTTCTCAGGAGTTCTTCCCCCGCCTAATTTTCTTTTCTATACTGCTTTTTTAAAAATCCTTAAAGATGTGGACCTTCCTGGGAATAGCCAGCCTCACGTACCTTTACAAGAAATCCAACACAGTGTTATCTTACGCTCACAAAGATCTCGTGATGGCGGCAGCTCTGTTCCTGGCCGTCGGGCTGCTGCTGGCGTATGTCAGGTATTTCCACAGCCACACACTCAGAGTCTCTCAGGTGTTGCATTTCCCTCTGAGACTGCTGTCCTGTGTGCCTCTTATCAACCATGTAGTCCCTCAAACTTCAACACAGAGCAGCGAGAAAGCAGAAAACAACTTAAAAAAGGTAAGAAAACTTATGTGGATATTAGCCTTATCATGTCAACAAAGGAAGACAAAGACAGCTTTCCATTTCACTGAAGTCATTTGTTATACTTATTTGTATTTATCACTGAGCAATATATTGTATCCTATGTGTTGTTGTTGTTATATGAAGCATTACTGAACTAAAGTCTAAAGGGTTTATGTATTTTTGTATATCCAAATACTGTAACTGAAATTATAGAGACATAGCTAGTTACATGCAATTTTAAACACAATATTACTCACGTTTTCCATCTTATGCTACTTTATACTTCTACTCCACTGAACCTCAGAGGCAAATGTTATACTTTTTACTCTAATTTATTTAGTTAACACTCATATTTACTAGATACTTTATACTGTACATATAACACATGATATGCTTATATCCTATGACACATTGCTTTTGTAATAATAAACCCAGTATTTCACAATGTATTTCTGTTTAGCTCCCTTATGACAAAACACAAGATGAAATGCTTTTACATGTATTTGTTGGTAGAAAAAACCGAATAACATAATGTTCTGTAGTAATATAAACTGAAAGTATTTTTATTACATTATTTGTACATTTAGGATTTTAAGACCATAGTATTTCTACTTTTACTTTAATAAAGGATCTGAGTACTTGATTCATTTCTGGTTATTTTAAGAAGTATACACAATGTAGCATGTCCCACTGTTTGCCTTACAGTCCAGTTCAGTTTGGACTTTACTCAGTGTGTAATAAATCCCCTCCATTGTTTCCAGAGCCGCAGAACAAGGAGAAGAGTAGAAGCAGAAGCGTCCTCTGCGTCACAGAGTGCCTCAGAGAGTGGCTCCTCAGGGGCCCCGGAGCCAGATGTGGTGATAGTCGGTGCCGGGGTCCTGGGCTCAGCTATGGCAGCCGTCTTAGCCAAGGACGGACGGAGGGTGACGGTGGTGGAGAGGGACCTGAAGGAGCCGGACAGGATAGTGGGGGAGCTGCTGCAGCCCGGAGGATTGAGGGCCCTCAGAGAGCTGGGCCTCGAGGGTCAGTGGACTGTCAATCACCTGCAAATACACTCTGATGTACAAATGAGCAGGAACCCCTTTGAATAATTACTTTAGTTCCTAGGTAAAAGGCCCTAAAAACACGTTCACTAGCTTTCACTTACTAGAACTACATGCACTATCAGTTATACTATTTAAAGTTTATTTCACATGAGAGGTTTCTGTGTTTTGAGTTTTATATGTGCTCTTCTCACTGGTGTGAAGTGGGCCTGGCTCAGCTGGAAAAGGTGAGGTCACATATTTCTGTGAACCAATCAGAGTGAGGCATGTCTGAATCAGAATGTGGTGACGGTGAGTGTGTTTGGTTATGGTGCCACTGCTGCCAGACACATTTCCCCCACAGTCTGGATAAAGCAGATCAGATGAACACTTTTACTCTGATTGCTGTGTTCAGTCCTAAATATGAAATGTTGTCGTGAAATAGTTACAATTTAAAACGAAGTATTAGTGGTTACTAATTCTCACCTGCTTCTATTTAGAGTATCTACATGCAGCGTACATTTCATACTTTGTGATCAGTACAGTTTTATGAGCATATAGGTATGTAATAGACAGTTTCGATTTTACTTAATCAAAAGTGCCTTTCTGATATTTCAGAAAAATAAAGAGTTCCTCAAAACCTCACATTCAAAACACATTTCTGGAACTAGGCTGATATTTGTAATCAAATGGTTTGAATATTTAATGTTAACTGTAAACCAATAAAAGTGTCTAAGGACTAAATTATACTCTACTGTTATTTAAAAAAGACTTTAACACTATGATAATATCCCCTTTTTACTGTATTTATTCGTTATTGTTTCTGTTATAGTCATGCAATATACCTCTAAAAAGACCCACCCTCAATCATAGCATAACATATTATTTTCAATTATCCCATTTACCTGTTGGTACAGACTTTTAGATTAAATGATATTAGACATCTCAAACTGTCTAAATGCACCAAATGTGTCGGATGGATTTATTTCAAAACGTGTGAGTTGAATTGAAATATAACATATAGTGTTTCCATTTGATGGAATGGTGCAGCCATGCTGATTGAGACATGTTCCCTCGATTACAGACATGCAAAAGGCCCCCACCACCTCTCTCATGTTTCATTTTGAGTCTCTTCTTGGTGCGTGTCTCTGTTAGTGACATTTCACAGGTAAAGGTCAGGGGCCCCGTGACATTTTTGGCCCCTGGATCTGTGCCTGTTCAGTTTGGCCCATTCAGTAAACCATCATGTATTCACTGAATCACACACTGCATGTAACACTGACTTGTTGTGTGTGTTTCCCCCAGGCTCGGTGGAGGGTCTGGACGCCCACCAGATCAACGGCTATGTGATCCACGACATGGAGAGCAGCACAGAGGTGGAGATCCCCTACCCCCAGGGGAAGGACAGCATCCACTGTGGACGAGCCTTCCATCATGGCCGCTTCATCATGGGCCTGAGGAGGAGCGCCATGGCCCAGCCAAAGTGAGTAGGGTCTTAAAACTTTTACACAGGCTGTTAGTAGGATATTGTTTCTGACAGCAGTGAGTTGGAAGAAACAGACGTATAATTCATTGTTCACATGCAGCAATTTTTTCAGTTTTATAAAGTGAAGCTACATAATAAGTTCAACAAACTCAGGATCAACTGATCTGCTTTTTCTAGAGCTTTCAACCTCACTTTTGATCATCCTCTTAACTCTGGAGGAATTTAATATGTGGACTGTGAGTTTAGATTTTTTTATTTCTGTCAAATTGTTTTGACTTTAGGTCAACATTTAAATCTTTAAGAAAAAAAGTCAAGTGTCTACATGACAAGTTCATCCGTGGGGTATTTCTATCCCTTACCTTTGGGTTAGGTTAGTGTTAGGGTTAGGGTTAGGGGTTAGGGGTTAGGGTTAGGGTTCCTTTTTATACATTTTCCAGATGAATGAGTTATTCTATGAATGGACAAAATTGACCTAATAACACTCAGTCCTAATGAGATGTAATTTTAGGAATTTTAATCTCATGTATTTTAATATAATTATTTCAGATGTATTTTTATATAAAGGTCTATTCATGCAAATATCAGTGCTTGCTTTAGCTCTTGCTGTACAATCACAATGGACTATTTTGTCCATAAATATGCATTTTTTTCGTTCCAGTAGCATTTCTCCCCATGTTACCCATGCCTTAACGTCTCTAACTGCCCTATTGCGCCCCCCAGTGTGACAATGTTAGAAGGCACCGTGACCACTCTGCTGGAAGAGGACGGCTGTGTAACTGGAGTCCAGTTCAGAGATAAAGAAACCGGAGACATCAAGGTGAGAAGAGGAGACTTTACAATCACCCCCCCCCCCCCCCCCCCCCCCCCAGTGGAAAGAAATACTGTATGGTTTACAGAGTGTGTGTGATGACAGTGTGATTATGTGTCCTGTAGGAGATCCACGCAGGACTGACTGTGGTGGCCGATGGCTGCTTCTCCAAATTCAGAAAGAGTCTGGTCGCTGCGAAAGCTCAAACCTCCTCTCACTTTGTGGGATGTCTTATGAAGGTGAGACCAGCCAGAGATGCTGCAACCTGAAATGTCCTTCATTTTGTTGTTGTTTTTCAATATATTCAGTTATTTTATTACAAATGTATTCATCAATTCATTGAGAAAGTAAAGTGCAGATGAATCGATAATGATAATAAAATGTGCAAACCATATTGTTCTGATTTGACTATAAATACTTAATAGCATTTGAAAGATACATTCCATTTAAAGGGGCCCTATTCTGCTATTTTTCAGGTTCTTATTGGTATTTATTGTCTCTCCTGTGACATGTTTACACGCTTTAACGTTTCAAAAAGCTCTTTATTGTTCTCATACTGCCTGTGCTGCAGCACCTCTTTTCACCCTCTGTCTGAAACCAGAGCCCAGTCTGCTCTGATTGGTTAGCTGGCCGGCTCTGTTGTGATTGGTCAACCAATTAGAGATGTCCCGCCCCCTAGCCTTTCACTACAATGTGTTGGAGCTCTAGAGTAGACATTAGAAGCCCAAGTGCTACTTTGTGATGTCATTAGGTTATGCAAGTAAACAAAGGAGTCCAATGAAGGCGTTTCAGGCAGGGAGTGTGTGGGAGAGAAACTCCCTCTGGAGGGAACACAGGGATTTTAGCCTTTGCAGACCATTTACATGCACACAATCCTAAAGAAAACACTACAGGAAAGGGAAAACCCCGAAAGCCTTATATGGCCTCTTTAAAATGTAATATAATAAAATCTGTGCAGATCTTACAAATTAATTTCTACTAATTTAAAGAGCCCCATCTCAAATGAAATGAAATGTCTCTTAGCTCTTGATTAAAACGTTATGTTGAAATGTTTTTTTCTCCTCAGGACTGTCCCCAGTTTAAAGCCCACCATGCTGAGCTGGTGCTGGCCAACCCGAGCCCGGTGCTGGTCTACCAGATCTCCTCCTCAGACACCAGGGTGCTGGTGGACATCAGGGGGGAGATGCCCCGCAACCTCTCAGAGTACATGGCTGAGAACATATACCCTCAGCTGCCAGGTAAAACACAAAAGGCCTCGGAGGTTTTATTCCTGTGTAATCATTTCGAATGAAAAACGACCTTTGTCCTGAGTAAGAACCCCTGTAACGTGATGAATGATTTGGAATAATGCCAGACATGGTGGTGGGTAGGAATATATCCAGCCTCTGTATGTGCTGTTGGAAGCTACACTTTGACATTCATAGTGTGCTCCTGCTATTCAGCTGAAATATCAAAGCCTCCATATCAAAGCATCTGGTAACCTTGACAGAGGTCCAGCTGAAATGGTGGAGTCAGGCTCACTGAAACATAAAAAACGAAGGAAAAAGGCTTTTTGTGCATGTGCCCAGCGTGCATGTCTGGGTTTTAATCCACGGAGCCAGCTGAGTGATGGACGCCTGCTCTCTCTCTCTCCCTCAGAGCACTTAAAGGAGCCTTTCATGGTGGCACTACAGAACGACCGCCTCAGGTCCATGCCTGCCAGCTTCCTGCCTCCCTCTCCTGTCAACAAGCCAGGTACTGAACAGCTATTCACTGCCATGTTGTTAGATATGGCTGAAAGAGGAATCTATTGAACTGTTTCAGCTTGGGAACATTATGAGGAAACTCAGGGAAAGTAGTGCATGGCTTTGGTCATAACTGTCTGATGAAACAGATACAGATTCCTGGTTGTCCACTCATCTGCAATGACCCTGTAAATGCATGCTCTTTCAAAGTTCTTTGAGCTCTTATCAGTACTTTGTTTTGATATCTTTTGTACTTTACCTGATACTTTAGAAATACTTGTATTAACTGGAATATTACTTCTTTCTTCAAGTTAGATGAGAAGATCAATTCAATTCTCATATCTGTACTGCAAATATGAAGCTATAAGTAGCAGCTAGTTAGCTTAGCTTTAAGAATGGGAAGAACCAACCTGCCTCTATCTTAAGGAATTTTAATTTAATCCTACAAAAAGAGCAAGATAACAATTTATAACATTAACATTTTATAATAATATTAAAAAAGTAGAAAGGTGATTAATACTGCACCTATAACGTTTTTGATATACACTTTACAGCCTACATTAGCTTGTAGCGCACATGAGACATGTCGGACTGTTCCTTTCAATTAGACTGTTAATATGTGCAAAAGGGGAGTTTTAACATCAGTGGTCTTTATTGGTGTAATGAGAGATGACACATTGAAACACTCTCAAAAGGTTTGAACTGTCAGAACATCTTAAATATAGCCACACAGAGACATGCTCCTGTTCACTGTGTTTGGCACTAATTGGAAGAGTTTTTAATTACAATATGCTGAAGGGAGTAAAAAGACAACAATGACAAACAGCAGTCTTTGGTTTGCAGGCGTTCTTCTCCTGGGCGACGCTTACAACATGAGGCACCCTCTGACGGGGGGGGGGATGAGCGTTGCTCTTAACGACGTTCGCATCTGGAGGAGTCTGCTCGGCAACATCCCAGATCTGTATGACGACAAGGCAATGCTGCAGGTGAACACAGAGACCAGTCCTGATCATTATCATGCCAAACACTCACTGTTCCCTAATGTACCATCTATGCCATCATAAAAACCAAGGGCTTGTGTAGCTGTGTGACAGCCAGCTATATTTAGAGGCTCACTGCATCACTTTGCCCTGTGCTGTTATTCCCTGTGGTGTAGGGGAGCGACTGCAGACCACTGTGCATTATTACACTGCTTTCTTTTCTTTCCTCAATAGGCAAAAAAAACATTCCACTGGGAACGCAAGTCATCACATTCTTTCGTGGTGAATGTGTTGGCCCAGGCCCTGTATGAGCTGTTTGCAGCCACAAACGGTGAGTCTCTGCCTGCCTCCGCATCTAACTGCACACTGAAACAAAATGACAGGGGATCAGAAATGATTATTCTTGAAGTGGATAGGTACAAAGGCATAATATGCAATACATTCAAATAATATTTATTTCCATTTTGATTCTCATTGTGTCCGTGTTCCTCTTTTGTGTAACACAGAATCTCTTCATGAGCTGAGAAGAGCCTGCTTCCACTACTTCAAGCTTGGTGGAGAGTGCATTAACGGGCCTATCGGATTCCTTTCTGTGTAAGCATTGAGAAATGTCTTCCACAATAACTGGATGGACAGAATGTCTCTTAATATGGTGGGATGGAAAGCCTTGGGGAAGTGAATTGAAAAAAGCTTTTTGCTTTGCTTGATTGCTGAGAGTTAGATGAGAAGATTGACCACTAATGTCTGTAGTCAAAATATAAAACCAGGGAAAACTAGCTTAGAAGCATTACCAATGCAAACAACAGTTGCTTGACAATGGCCAAATTCCACCTATCAGCACATTAGCAGTAAAAGCTAACTATTTGTGCTAAGCTACGTAGTTTGCAGCAGATACATTTATCCTTCTCTCTCGGGCAAGTGTATTTCCCAAACTGTCCTTTTAAATTCATGAAAAGTACAAGATACTTAATGACATCGTGATTTTTTTTAACAGGTTGACACCTAAACCCATGAACCTTCTTGGACACTTCTTCGCCGTGGCGATGTACGCAATCTACTTCAACTTCAAGACAGAGCCGTGGAGCACCAAACCTCGAGCTATATTCAAGAGCGGAGCCATCCTGTACCGAGCCTGCACCGTCATGTTTCCTCTCATCTACTCTGAACTCAAGTACCTGGTGTACTGAGCAGCTGTGCGTCCTCACACAGACACCACACTCTGAGTGTTTCTCAATCGCGAGTAAAGCTGCTTCAGAGCCACTATTTCAAGCATACTACGTCATCGAGTGCCGCCGAAGTACTGTTCCAATCTCCAGCATACTTGGAAATCTACCGAGCCCGGCGTACTCCGTTTGGAGAAATATCGAGGCTGCACATGAGTAGACTCCGCGGTCTTAAAATCCCCACAATGCTTTGCGCACGGACCAATTTCCCCAAATCTGTGGCGGAAGATGTAAGGCAGGGCCTATCATATGACGCACACCTGCACACTTGCTCGCCTGTTCCACTCTTCGTTTTCCGAATGCCAGGAAGTATTCTTGACTCGCTTCTGAAGCAAGATGCTCGGCAGACATGTGCTACCAAGCAAGCGTACTCGCGATTGAGAAACACCCTCAGGGTGTTTCTCAATCGCGAGTAAAGCTGCTGCAGAGCCACTATTTCAAGCATACTACGTCATCGAGTGCCGCCGAAATACTGTTCCAATCTCCAGCATACTTGGAAATCTACCGAGCCCGGCGTACTCCGTTTGGAGAAATATCGAGGCTGCACATGAGTAGACTCTGCGGTCTTAAAATCCCCACAATGCTTTGCGCACGGACCAATTTCCAAAATCTGTGGCGGAAGATGTAAGGCGGGGCCTATCATATGACGCACACCTGCACACTTGCTCGCCTGTTCCACTCTTTGTTTTCCAAATGCCAGGAAGTATTCTTGACTCGCTTCTGAAGCAAGATGCTCGGCAGACATGTTCTACCAAGCAAGCGTACTCGCGATTGAGAAACACCCTCAGTCTTCACAGAGATGGCTGACAAAAGGGACTTTCTAACTGTGCTTCTACAATATGCCCTTGCCTTACTGCAGATTTCATCTCCTCAATGTCCTACTTCAATTTGGACATATTGTTCAACATTGCCTCAGTGTAGTCCTGTTTGTGCCCACCCACAGTTTGCCCTATATGCTGAAAATGACAGTACAGTGTGTTATCTCACAGCCTGAATTACACTGAATATTTAACACTGGGATTATTCTACAACAGAACCACTATGTTAAACATGGCATCTGAATTGCATATTGATTTTGCGATAGAGCCAGTTTTCCTGCTGAGCTAATTAGGGCTGCACTATACATGTGAATCCTTGTGTAATGATGATCATTTATAACACAAATACATCATTAATAATCAGAAGCACTTATTATAAAACACGCTTTCTGAATTATCTTTTTATAGTTAATTCAAAAATCCAGTACATTTTAAGCCCTGTTTTGTTGATGAAAATATCTGTTATATATTTGTTCAAATCACACATTCTTACTGTGATAATCACTTCCTGCCTTCCTGATGCTGTTGCTCTTTATATAAGGGACTTTTTGTAACTCATTTTGATTCCCAAACTATGAAATGTGCTGACAGTGCAGCTGACGAAACCATAATCCCAGAACTCAAAGAATGATCCCGGCACTATTTTAGTCTCGCTGGATGTCAGTGAAGAGCTGACGCAGCATGCCTGCGGGGAAGTTTGAATTTGACGAGGACCTGGAATGGAAGTCGCTCACATCAGGACCGAGTCAGCGGATGATGCCCAGGAGACGTTCCTCCTGGGCGGACAGACTCCTTCAACACCTGCTCTGTGTGTTTACCTGTGCCTGTGTTGGGCTTGATGGGCTGTTAAATAAAACATGATAGACAACACTCACTTTTTTACTTTTTTATAACAGAACACTTCTTTGGATAATTTGTGTGATTTCACAGTTATTTGAGTTGATGCATTCATTATGATTTGATACTAGTTTGTAATTTAAATTCAGTTCACTACACTAAACGTCCACCAGATGGCGCTCAGTCACAGCTGAAGGATTTCTGTCAGCATGACGGTCCTGCTGATATCAGTTGGACTGCTGAACTGTTGAGATTGCAAGAGTTTCAGAAATAGTTTAGTACTAAACTCATGGTGCAGCTCTTTATTTCTGTGTTTGTTTCATTAAAGCACAATGGAAACACTGCTGCTGAAACATCTTCAGTGTAGTATTTAACCAGTGATCGAGTAAAGGATACATACATCTTACAAAAGTAGAACGCCTGTGACTTCAGCTGCATTAGACTTCATAAAGACCTCTTATACCCCTTTCACACCAACGGTGTTTCAGGGCCGGTTCGGTGCTGGTGCTTGAAAAGCACCGGGTTTTCCTGTTCACACCGCAGCGGAGCAGCGTCATAGCTCCGGAATCCGGTTCGTTTCGAGCACCAAAAAGTTGTCCGTCTAGAAGCAAGAACCGCATACGTCACGCTTACGTCGGAGGGGGGCGAGATTAACCTGAGCTAACAGTTAAGGCGAGTACGGCAAATAAAAGTTGTAACAAGCAGTAGTGCTGAGCAAAGTGACTAGAACGCAACCACACACTTGTTAAAAAAAACACGCTTTATAAAGTCAGGCAACACTAACCAGGCTTCGTGTGATTCTGTTTATTTGTACCTTACTTTGACCATCCGTTCGCTGTTATTGATCATTGTGGAGAGCAGGCAGACGTTTTGTTTGTTATTATAGCAGCTATCGGATGGAATCAATACATGGGCTGCACAGGTTGTCATGTCCGACTATCACAAGTAGAATCATAATGAAAAATACGTCGGTAAAAAGTGCCTGTAGAAAACTGCTTAGCAAGTAGTCAGTTTAGCTTCGGTTGCTATGCTAACATCACCCATGTTATACCAGAGAAACTTTCATAACAGCGTTGTGATGCCAAACAGCGTCAATTCAGACTGACACCAAACAGCGTCAATTCAGACTGACACACATTCACTTAAGGGGAACTGGGGATATGTATCAGCTGCTTGTGTGACAGTCAGACAGTGAATACTTTAGAGCCGTGTGAGCTAACCCGGAGCTAACGGGAGAATACACTCGTGGAAGAGCAGCCGGCCAGCACTGCAGCGGTCGGTAAATGCCGCTGAAACACATTAATAAACAATGAACCACGGCACTCTGGAGAAAAGTATAAGGTTGGAGAAGTCGTTATTTAATTTAATCTGGCTTCGTATGATTAAAAGCAACGCAGTCCCCGGCCCGTTGTTATTGTGAGGTGAGCTCCGGCGTTGGGGAGAAACTCAGCGACGTAAACTGTGACGTCATGACGCAGCAGCGGCAGCACCAGTCGGGCTCTGAGCGGTGTGAAAAGAGCCGGCGCTAAACCGAAGAACCGGTTCTGAACCAGAAAAGCTCTAGCACGGAGCTTGAACCGGAGTTGCGTTGGTGTGAAAGGGGCATTATGCAACCTGTAGTTTTACCAGAGATTAATATACTTAGCCCCTCTATAGAAGAGGTGTTTATACTTACGAAGACGTGGTGAACCATGTTCATGAGTTTGCACGGTTTTATTCTTCAGTAGAATCTGATTATCGTTAGATACACTTAAAGGTGGGGTATGTAATTTATTTCAGAAACACTTTTTGTTATATTCCATGGAATGCTCTTAACATCCCGATAGCAATGAATATATGAAATGCTTTGACAATAAATGCATAAAAAAATGTAATCTGTGGAAGCCGTAGTAGGTGTAAAAAGCACGACCAATCATTTTAGCCGCCCGGCTAAAATAACTGGATGGCCTACCTGCCTGTCAGCCTTCCATCTGTGCACAAACTTATCTCGTGCCCTCATTGGTCATGTGCGCGTTCGTGTGTGTTGGAGGAGGGGCTCTGTAAGGAAGTGGCAGATTTTTTCCGGTTGTGTATTTTCAAATTCTAGCGCACTCGAGCTGGTTTCTCCAAAATGACATACCCCACCTTTAACGACCGCAGCAAGGCTCTGTACGTTTCCTGTTATTTAACTGGAGTACATATAGTGGTGTGGTCTTCTGGGTTCAAGAGAGAACTGGCCAAAGGTACAGGTTTTTATCTCTGACTGCTGAATGTACACTTTAAACCAGGATCAGTGATTGATAAAGCTGACAGCTGAAACAGATCATTTTACACACACATGTTGTAGGATGTATGTAAAATACAAACGTTTAATAGATTTGGATTTAAAAACTGCAGCATGAAAGTAAAACATAACCATAACATATTTTAATAAATGTTTGGCTAGTCAATGTCTGTCTCTCACATTACATCTCACAACCCATTAGTTTTCTTCTTAAACATGAACCGTTTCACTGAGTGTCATCTTGCTTACATTCAAAGCACCTGAGCAGTTTAGTAATGAAAAAGATGTGTAAGCAGTGTATCGGGTGAGAGTGAAATAAAATCCAACCTACAGAGTAGCAGCGGGAAACTCCTACCAATTCTGAGCAGCTTTACTTTTACATAGCAAATATATTGATGTTTTTTTATTTGTTTTGGGGATTGTGTACAAATGTGTTTCCAATGAACACTTAAGAATGTGAATACAAAAGAGCACACAACTATCCTTCGAGGAGTTAAGAAGTGTAAAAAAAGCAGATATATTAAACTAAAAAAAGAAACATCACAGATTCAGTCGTATCCCAGGTTACAACAATTAATTCAGCTTTATTGTTATTTATACATCACTGATACATTGTAATCTGGTGAAATAATCGGAATAATTATCCATTTTATTCTTTGTGACTCCACAAGGACACAAATACTGGTGTGGAAGACCAGGAAGGGGGGAGAAGGCTCCTCGGCGGAGGGATACGTCCTGTACACACCCCCCCTCACCCTGCCTGCATACCTACCTCCACCCACCGACCTGACAGCCAACAGCAGAGAACCAACCTTCCACCCCCCCTTCCTGCCTCAGAGTAATCCTCCTCATTAGACACACAGAGCGTTAGGGCATACCCTTATTGATATTGGTAGCAGCAAGCTTCTACTAACAGTTAACATCTTAATGATCTAAACAAAAAAAGTACTGTACAGCTACTGCTAAGAGAATATAGGAACCTGGCCTGACGCTTTACACCTGATTAAAGTGCTAGAAGCAACCCACCAATCCACACTTTATTATATATATATATATATTTATATAGCATTATGTATTTATATATATATATATATAAATATATATATATATATATATAGGAACAAAACTACTATTTGAACATTAATTTACAGGGTAATATACATAATATTGTAACAGCTGAAATATCAGCACAAGTAGATCACTGTCACACTTAACAGCAAAATATATATGATTATATAAATCCCTATATAATCATATATACCAATATATAATTGTCATATATGCATGTAAAACAGTTAACCACGTCGCAGGCTTTTCAAATGACACCCCCCCCCCCCCCCGGAAAAGCGATCGTGTATCAAGACGTCAAATCTCTACAGGTTTCTCTCGTGAAAGAGCGACGGGCCGCGGCTAAAGTGCCGTGCCTCCCCCCCCCCACCCCGCGGGTACTTGAGGTCACAGGACAGTTATTTTGCATATTCCACAAATCTATTGCAATACGTTACCGTCTACGAACAGTACAGCCGTTAGCTGGACTCACACGTACACCCACTGAACAGAACAGCACAACGAGGGGTGATCTGAGTATAGCTATGTGCTTCAGATGGTGTGCGATGACAGTGAACGACAGGAGGACTACAATACACAATACTCTATAGTTGAGCCTCAGAAGACAACCCAAAACTGTACTGGAAAAAAGACTAACACCCCCCCTTACACAGCAAATCCTCTCTGAGCTAAGTGTCATCATATCCTGCTGCTGATGAGTTTTAATTTTTTATTTAAATGCGACACTACCATCACCAGGAGTAATGGAATGTGTTCAGCTTCTGTCTGCCTACCTGGGTCTCTGTCCGTGGAGACAGCACAGTGAGTAACATCCTACTGACAAAAGTTCTAGGGGTGGGGGGGGGGGGTCAGGGGGCTCCTTGAGGTTCTGTGACGGACACACGATCTGGAGTAGGGCGGTCCTTTTCCCGGTCCAAACGCCAACACCTTCAGGTGGAGAGGAGTTCTAATGCTCCTAAAGGCTCTCTCCTCTCCCTCACTCACACACTCCCCCTACTCTGCAAAGACGCCGCACAAGGCTGTAACAAGATACACACAAAGGTCATTTTTCACAAAGAAAAAGAAGCTCCGTAATAACTGCAGTAGTAACGCACAACAAGCATCTGGCAGCTGGCCTCCTGCGGAGCCCGGTGATGTGCAGTCAGGTTGGGGGCCATTGTTCTAAAGGAGGAGGGGCTCCTCGCTTTGCCCTGTTGCAGGACTTGTTTTTTTTCTCCCTGTGGTGCACTGTTATTCAAAAGCCCAGATCTCTATGTCCTGAACATAGAAATCCTCCTTCTTCGACAGCATGGGGTTCCCAAATGTTTTACAGGAGTGGCTCCTGCCGTGGTACAGGTCTCCGTCCAGCCACAGGCCGAACTCGCCGCTGGGGAGAGAGACAGGGCTTAGCTGGAGGTCATCATCCAGGAGGCTACAGTCTTTAAGGCATATTTCATGACAAATACACACTTTTATGCAATGAAAATCATTTTTATACACACTAAGAGGGAGGTGAGAAAAATAATAATCTGGTGATTTATTATAAGTGTGATCTAAATAGTGTTTTCTCCTGTGTTAAGCAGATGAAAAAACTGATTTTGCCACTTAACATTTATCCATGTGTTTGTTGTTGCAATACTCGTTACGGCCACAATAGGCTGAAGTGCACCATTACCATGGTCTAAATACTAAAAGCACTCATTTTTGTATTTGAGTCAAGTTCCTCCCATGCACTCTAAACACAGTGACAGCATGTTAGCAGGTTACACCACATCAGCTCCAGTCTCACCTGTTTCCAGACAAAAAGATAGGAAAAAAGGAAGCTGGTATTTCTTTCCAGCAGTTCTTAAATGATGTGTTATTCTCAATGATCTACCTCTTCAATATCATTATTTCATTCGGGGGAATAACTTTGAACTATATTGTATTATTAGATTCTATTAAAAACAGATTTAGTTCAGACTGAATGATGTGTCTGTAATATTGGACTCACCTTCCTCCACCAAAAGATAAAGAGTCCATATCTCCTTTCATGAAGAACATGTTGTCTCCTGTCCATTTGAACACCTGTCACACACAATAGAGCAACATTAGGAGACATTTCATGACATGTTTACAGCATCTGATCATGTCTGTCCACCCCGATGAGAGCAGAACACATCGATGTTTACCTCTAAGGCATGGTCTAGTATTAACATCTTGCCTTGCATTATACTTTATACTATAATGCAAGGCATGACATAAGATGGTTCATATATTAATACATACCTTTCCTTATTTTAATATCCTATGTCATTTTGGCCTACAATTCAGTGTTTAGTGTCTGTAAACATCTGATCCAAATTAGGTGACATTCTGATCATTATTTGCAGAGATACATTCGATAATGCAGACACTGTCCTTTTAAGAGAAGTCTACATTTTCTATCTTTTTGGTTATGGGGAAGATCCAGACAATCATTTCATTGTCATAGATGACGGGATTAAAGCCCCTTAATGTAAACCTGTTATGCAAATATAGCAGTTTTTTTAATTCCTCCACCCTGAAAGCATTCCAGTGTAAATGCTGTCAGAGCATAACCAAGAATGCAAGTTACAAAACGCTACATGCCTCTGAAATTGGAAGCTTTAAAGAACCATACTTTCAAATGTATAAAGATATACAGACACATATTTATCACCGCGTGGGTTGGGAGTAGAAGAAGAGCTTATTCACCGTGTAACCTTGAGTCTATCCTGGCATAGTATTGCACACACTATACATGTTATCTGGGTTAAGTCTGCAATAAGTATTAACTCTTTGCCGAAAACAGTCTTTTCAAACTTGTTTCCAGTTCCACACAACATTATTGTGTTGGAAGTATCCAAGTGTTTTTGGCCCGTTACACAAAAAACAATATTTTGAATGCGATACAAGTACATTTTTGTTACGGATAAGGCAGATTACACAATGTTCACATTTACAGTTTGCATGGTAAACCTCTTAGCATATTGTTTATCCACACAAAGAGCAGATACAAAGTGACACTACACCGTGGTAATGTTTGTAACCACATGATGATCACCTCAAATATTCACTCTCTTTTAGCAAATGTTCTTACCTGCGGGAAAGTGCCATCATAAAGGACACTGTACATTTTTGAATTCCTACAGAAAGTGAAGGTAGTGTACCTCAAACTCTGGATTGAAGGTGAAGAGGAAGGTCTCCCCGGTGCCATAGAAGCCATCGCTGACTTTAAAGGGCTCAGACGCCAACGCACCAAACACCTGGAGGAACAAATCACAAAGAATGCAATAACACAACAATGAACAACTGAAGGGCCTGTGTCCATCTTTTGAAATTGTTTCCAATGAGGAGAGAGCATATTTCATCGCCTCGAGAAGAAGCACTGCATCCTGCATTTTTTTTTTTTTAGCGCTACAATGTTTTTGAGTAGCTGCTCTAAGTGTTTCGACTTGACAATATCAACTTTCTTTCATAAGGAAACTACCAGAATAAAGACCAAAAAGGTCATTTGTTGGATTAGATTGGCCGGGCCAACCCTGGATGATGCTGCCGGTGAGTGTTGTGATTTTTTTTAGCCATAACGTCCTCGCTCTAGCGCCAACTGTCTGAGAGGTGAAGCTCATCCATTCAAAGCGTGAGAGCAAGCATCCTCCAGTTTGTGTTTATGGTGGAAAAACAAATGTACTTAGTTACTTCCCCCCTCTGCTTGGGAGGAGGCACCGCCCAGCTCCCTTCTGCGGGAACACGACGCTCTGTGTACACTGGGCCTAACTCAGCTCCTACATTTCCCTGTGTTCCCCTGCTGGGTTGTATCTGCAGCTCACCTGGCCGTCGCTGTCCTTAATCACCATGAGCACGGGGGTGTCCTGGCCCTGCATGGCTCTGTACAGAGACTTGATGCTCATGCCATGCTTTGATGTGCCAAAGGCCAGCGTCCATGGGTACCCAATGGTCCGTGGTGGGAGATTCCTGGCGAGCTGTGTAGGGAGGGGGGGGGGGTATAATAAAGATAAAGGAAGCAGAGAAAAGAGAGAAAGGAAATGAAACACGGAAAGGCCACAGCCACCAATGCTCAATTACATCTGCAGTGACCTTTTAACACCGTGTGGCGTTTAGAGAAGAGTAACAGGGCTCCGAACACAGCGCGTCTCAGGAGAGAGGCCAGCTCTCCCTGCTGCTGCCTGACTGAAGGATTAACAGGGCTGCGCTGCACGGGGAGATAAAGCGGAGCAAGGCGCTGGAGGGGGGGTGCACTGTATGCTTCATTTTAATGGACAGATAAAACAGACACGCACTAAAACATGGAAAAAAAGTGACAACTCTCTCTGTTTCCCTCTGTATGGATCCTTTAAACGTTCTGTGCGCTCTACAATAATTCCTCAGTCCTTTGCTCTTTTCTTGTTTGTTCAGCACTTCCTCCCGTGGTGGAGCGGTCTATAAGCAGCAGGCTGGAGACGGAACCCTGAGGAGAAGAGCCTCACCTTCGGTCTGCTGTGATTCGACCTCTGCTCTGAGCCACGTCCTCAGGGAGATTAAAGGAAGACGCACACTGGCAATCTATTGGTCAATATGCCGATAGGGACTCATCTGGGTGTGTCTGTGTGTGCACTAACCTGCAATGCCTGCGGGGCGTACACCACACCTCAACCAACATAAAGGTTAGCGCCTGAGAGACAAGTCTGTTAATGTGTTTCTCACGCCTTCACCCTGAGAATAAGTGAGACTTTATGAAGTGTCTTCTTCTCTGATATAATACTTATAAGGGACAGTTCACCCCCAATGTATCTAAATTGTTTTGTTGTGAGTAGTGTTGGAGATATGAGCTGTGAAGATCGCTGCATTTTCTCCCATATAATGGAACAAGATGGCACTCGCTGGTTTTAACACTAGAACCGCCAACGGGTACATTTTACCCGCAGCTGTTTTTTGATTGTATGTAACTTTTTTTCAATAAAATATTCAAGTCCCCCAGTCCGTGACTTTTCCTGAAAGTGTGTTATGTAGCACCCTCTGTTGTTAAAAATTGTCAATATGAAGTCAGATTGAAAAAATCGCCAAAAAATGTGCCATTTATACCTATATAACCGCCAGCGGGTCATATTTACCTCATAGAACATGCAGCGTAAACATGACGTGTTGCTATAGCAACGCCTTTTGCCTACTGCGGTTCCTTATAGAGAGAGAGATAGATTGAGAGAGAGAAAGAGAGATAGATAGATAGACAGATAGATAGTGTAACATCTTGGAGAATACAAGATCTTGGATGACTGAGCTCACGTTGAGGACGTAATGCATGTGTGCAGGTTACGTGCCAGTTGAATAAAGGTGGACACTCGGAATGAGAGAAGTAGGCCCAATCCCAAACCACTCCCTCGACCCTACCCCTCCGTGAACTCCGTCTGTAGCCACACTCGCAGCTGAATGAAGTTCCCTCCATTAAGGGTTAAGGGTATAAATACAGCGCACCGCATTGGGACGGCCTCCCCTCTCTCCGGCACAAACAGGAAATGCCGCAACTGTATGTAACAATGGTTTCAAATCAGCTTCTCTTAGACCAAAAATGTAAATTAAGAACTCAAATAAAACTCCAAACATCTTTCATTGTGTTACTTTTTCTGTAAAGCTCTTTTAGTTTTAAATCTGATTTTTATAAGCTTCTTAGTTTTTGCAACAATCTGTAAATATACACAACTTTATAATAAAATGCACACATTTACCTTTTTCTAGACTAAACACAGGTATATGATCCTAAGTTAAAAAAATATGACCAAGTGTTTAAATCAGCACTGGTAGCGATATTTTATACTTCATGCTATCTGCACAAACGATATCATATGAAAAGCTGAGAGTCCACAGATTCTATTAGTATAAGTTTCATCCCTGTGCGATCAAAACTCACTGTTCTACATGATAAATAAAAGAAAATTGTACCTTGAAAATCAATAGCGGGTACATTTGACCCGTTGGCGGTTTTAGGTATCCAGCGACCTCTGGCGGTTCTAGTGTTAATAACTGAACAGCATGTCCCTGTCTAGAAATCCTGACAGAGTTTTTCAAGATCATGAGCAGATAAATTAACCAGAAAGGTCCTAGCTAGATAAAAGGTCTCTTCTTCTAGAGAGTCCTGTTTAAGTTTCAATTGGGAACTATTTTCTTTCTACAGTATCACGCCGTAGAAAGAAGCGGGCATTTACTGATTTATAAAAGGCTTTCCTGAGCTCACTTGAGTAAGCTAGCATTATTGCTCGGATGTCTCCATGTTTACATTATTGTTCACAAGCTCAAGCCTCTCGTCCATGAGCAGGTGCATGCTTCCTTCTGCGTGGTAATACCATCAAAATAAGATAGTTCCTACATGAAACAAGGACTAAGAATGATCTTTAGTAACTGGGTCATGATTTCTAAAAGGAGACATTGCTGTTGAGTTTAACAAATGTATTATTTGCAGCTGTGAGCACCACAAGTGAGTGCCAAGAGAAATTTTGAACATTCAACAACTCGCAGTAAAAATCGGATTCATAAATATCAGAAGATAAATAATTTTTGGTTTGTGGGCAAACTTTCTCTTCAATCATACACACTTTGCACCGTCTCACTTTGCCACCACCCATAGCTTAATGGCTTCTGAGCCTGGTGTAAGAGTGAGTGGTTTTGTCCATAAATAATAGACTTTTTTGCTGTTTGTACTCCTTCCATCTAAAAACGGTTGGGTAGGCTCGTGTATAATGGTTACTTCAGCTGTGAATACATTTGTTTCCAGACTACACAGTAGGCAAATAATCCTAAAAAGGGAGCTGAAGGAAAGGAGGGCTACATTTTCTTACAAATTTGAAAGTGAAATGACGATCAAATCCTCTGCGTTTGCATACAACCGCATGACCCACAGATCATATGATAGTAGTATATAGGTTCATACTGAAAATGCCAATCTAAAAAGGGGCCGAATAATTCACATTTAATGCACCAGAGTGAAAATGGATTACATTTGGATGAATGTGGTTACATTATTGATATGTTATACATCAGCGGTGGGTACCTTCTCTATCTGGTCGGCCTCCAGGAGATCGCTGGCTTCTCTGAGGTTGGGTTTGAACGTTTCTGGCTCCAGCTCCGACTTGATGGATGTGCCCTGCTTGCAGTTCACCTCCTCCTTGGTGGTGATCTACAAGAACAAATGAATGTTAGGTAGGTATATACACTGAAAAGGGGAGTTTCACTTCAGCTTCCATAAAGCATCTTTACCGGTTGGGTTCAATTATAGCTATTTGTCATAAACCTACAACTTTGGATTGCTTATATTGGGCTGTAACCTGCAACAGTATAAGGCCCAGATAAACTGAGTCAGTGGATTCTGAAGTGATACATGATAAACTCCACTTGAAGAAAATGTGTAACTTAACAGGCTATAATGACATAAAGAATATAGCCTAACCTGAGCAACAATAGTCCTATTTTAAATCTAACAGTGTTCACGCAAAAATATAAATGCAGCGTTTGCTGGCACTGATAATCCAAACAACTTGATGATGACAGCTGAATATCTTCCTGCCACTTTCCAATGCCAGACAACTAGGATTGGTTGGGCCAAACTAGAATACTGAAACCGTGTCTGAGAGAGGAGAATACAAAGTGAATAGGAAATGAACCCAATGAATAATTTGTAATCCGCAGCTTGACATTTTCTCTGACCAACAGACTGTTTGGGTTATTTATCTTTCTTGATAACAGAGGCTGATTGTAGAGCGCTGTGGTGGCTGGGATGCTCTCATGTTTCGGCCCTCATTCAAACATGCCTACCTGCATTGTTCTCAGGAAACATCATTCAGCCTAAGGGAGGCTTACTTCCACCCTGTCCCCAACACACTATCTCTTTGTCCATCAATACTCTAAAAACTCATCTTATTTCAACAACTAAGACAATATTCTAATAAAGGGTAAAAAGGGGAAATAACCACAGCTATTTCTGTGTATTTAAAATGTGCATGTCTACAGCTCGCAAAAACAGCTAGCATTAACTACCTAATAACCAGACTGAAGCACTAAAAACACCATGACAACCAGTCTAAGACGGAAAGCCTGACATATGGAGATAAGGCTGCGGTTACATCAAAACCTCATAACACAGTTTTCTGTAATGGATTGATAAAAAATACTTCCTGTCAAATGCTTGAGAGGTTATTCCCAATTGATCTTGTAAAGCAAGTTTTCTATAGGTTTTGTGAATCCATGCACTCGCAAAACCTACTCAATCCATTACTTCAGAGTAAAGCAGTATGAACAGGTGTTGTTGAGGTTAGTATGCAACATCAGCAGCAGCTGCAGCCTGCTCCAGCCTCTGGGAGAGCGTCCTGGTGCAGGCAGCAGCAGCAGGCTGGGCAGAGAGACAGGTCAGGGCACCTGGAGTCGTTTGCAGAGCGAGCGCAGATCGTCACTGTTTAGAGCATCGATCCGACGGTGGTACTCCGTCAGAGACACTACCTGGTAGTACAAAAACAGGGACAAGTGGAACATAAAACTCTACCGGATCTTTTGCCGGCCAGTGAAGAGAAAGTTTGAGTACTAAGTGTCCTCTTAAGTAGTGAAAACATAACACTAGTCTTAATATTAAAGTAGATTTCAGAAATGTTAAGAACTGTATCGAAGGCTTAAAGGAATACCTCACCCACAAAATAACATTTTTTATACAAATTACATACCTCATACCTCATACATACCCTTTGTTCTATATCCTCCGTGATGAACTTTGGGGCGCATTTTACAACAGCAAAACTATATCAAAACATCCATTTACAAACTCTTGTAACATCATTTTTGGTTAAATGAGACTTGGATGATGCTGCATGAGGTACGCACGAGTTTATAAAAGGACGTTTTGATTACGTTTTGTAGCAAACGCCCCGTATTTATCTACATTGATCAAGAATTCTCTCTGTATTTTGATTCTTTGTTCACCATGGATTTCTTTTAAAGAATTCAAGGTTACATGGGGTGAGTAATTGGTATACAAATGGTCATTTTTAGGGTAAAGTATACCGTTAAAGCCGCTGTTGACAAGTCCACTTTTTAGTTAAAGATAGAGAGCTCTCTGTCATTTTGCATGTTTGTGTAATTGAATGACACCACCACTCAGTCATCCTAAAAGTCAACTTAAACAAAATAACTGAAAAAACTCCAGCAAAACGCAATATTAATAAAACTCTTTCTTCTGAACCAAAATGCTTAAACAATGCAAAAAGTATTTGGAGTGCGAAGTTCAAAATCCACAAGATTTTGATGCTGGAATATAGAAAAAAACAACAAAATATAACCGAGGTTCGACTGATGCAACAACGCTTGCCAAGTCCATGGCATGAACAATAACCCACTCTCCGTTTGTCAGGAACAACAATCCAGAAAACAACAACCCAGACAGAGCAACACAATGACCTGTGAGCATGGAAACATTCCAACAGTTACACCCCACGCTGCCAGCTCCGCAGAGAGCTGCTGCCTCTGTTCTGCCACTGAATCAACGTTGACGTTTACTAGTCCACTGTGTCTCGTACAGGAAGATATTTTAAGCCTTGTGCACAAGATAAACAAACAAACAAACGCACAAATACCATACATGTACAGAGTCAAAATAATCTCTCCAAATATGTTTTAACTGTCAGGGCAAACATGTCATAAGTTGCCTTTAATTACTTTTTACAACTAAGATTATCTTTCGCTTACCTTGTGGCCTTTGATGTAAATAACTGTTTTGGTAACAAGTTGCCTCTTTACAGCACTCAATAATGTAGTAGATAGGGTAAACTACAGCTCTAATAAAAAATACATGTGTGCCTCATTTCACCTACAGCTGAAGGCACTTTAGTGCATTTGTGCCCTGGAAAAGGGTTAGCTAGCAGCATGCTACACTTTGCAATGTGAATCAAATGCCATTTATCTTAAGAGATGAATCTCATAAATAAGGTCAGCATGTTGAAGTGACAGCAAAGATTATACTGCAACACAGCACATGTTAGCATTCCAACTAACACGTTGCAGCTATAAAGTAAACATGACACCTGGTAAAACATGTATGGTAATGTGAGGTCAAAGACACTGGTGAATGAAAGAAGGGGCTGCCTCTTTCAACTGGCACCCCGCACTGGAAACTTTCAGACAGCTTACAGAGCCCCACACATCGTATTACAAGGTGCCAAGAGGACAAACAACAGATGAGAGCACTTTCCTGACTACCAAACAGTGGTCGGATAGTGGCCACTTTGTTCAAAATCAATCACTGACCTAGAGCATACTGCTGTATAGAGGGCTAGCGGGCTAGTTAGCTTCGCTAGCACGGCTTGCTAACAACAACATCATACAAAAATACATCACCAAGGACCGAAAACATGACCTAAACATAAGGAACATACACAAGTATACTTAGGGCTCAGCCGCTTCTCTTGGTCTTTCACCCTCCTAGAAAACATATCTTGCTTTCGGAGCGAGGTTGAAGCTGGAAAGTCACATTACAAATCCTTTAAGTTCTCCCAGTAAAGCCCCGAGACAAGAAGACGGAGTTGGTATGAAGCCTGGCAGCTTGCTTGACTGAAATAGAAACATTTTTTCCCAAGGGGGGCATCTACACATGGATTGTTGACATCGCTGTAAACCAGTAATAACACGGGACAGCAGGGAAACCGGCTCCCCATTGGTTGATAAAAACGATGACCCCCGTCCCATAACCGACAATTTAAAGAAACAGCAGCACCACTAGCACACGAGGTATGATTTCTTCAGGACAGTATCCAAAAGTTACGTAAAGAAGTTCAAATTAAATCAAGTAATAATTAATACACAACTTAACAAGCTTAAAGACAAATGTGTCCGTTTTTTTTTCTCCGAAACAATAACATTTATTTAAATAAACTCACCTATTGGTCCTTAAAGCAACAAGCAAAAACAGTGTTGCTTTAAATGCATGTATTTCAACAGGCTCCTATTTACTTATTTAAATGTAATGGAACATGACAAACAAATCAGCCCACTTTGTTTCCTACATCATTAATTTACATTAAAGTTCAAATCCCTGCCACTGCTTCCATGGTATCAATTTCTTCCTACAATTAATGACTTATTTTCATTATCCACAGGGCTGTTAATAATCTGACCACAACCTATTCACAGTGTGGTGCAACTGCTTCCAATAACAGTGCTGAACATCTATAGGAACATCTGTTGTCTATGCTTCCTAGTCTTACTTCACCATTCTGTTCATGTGCAATCAAGAAGACACCTTGAGAAGTAAGTTTACCAAGAAAGTAGGACAGACTGAGCCCACATCACTACCAAGTGAGTTGAGGTGATTTCAAAGATAAGAAACTGTAATGGTGTTAGCCTTTTGCCATTCTGCAAAGAATGTTTCTGAATGCTGACCAACACTAGTGACAGTCACACAACATATAATGAAAACTACAAAACACTAACTGAGAAGAATAAACAATTACACAAACATGCAAAACACTTTGGTTGGAAGTTCAGAGAAGCACATTTCCAAGCAAAGCAAGTGCTCACACAACTTACATGTGATAGCAAGTTCACACACAAAGTTGCCATCAAATCAAGAAATATGCAGTGGTATATAAAAGTGCAATACACAGAAGCAGATTACAAAACTAAGGTTTACAACTACACAGTTATGATGGATTAAAAATCAAAATTAGCACGTTTTCACTATGCATTGCATAATAAAAGCAAATCAACACAGTTATACGACATGTAACTTAAAATACAACAATTAACTTAACAATACACCACATGAGTTTCTGCTCTCACAGTTATGGAATAAATCATAGTGGAGAACTATATTTAATCCATGTCTGTGAGGCTTAAGACAACACGTTTGATTTAACAAGGCAAGGGCACAGTTTGAGCTGCGTAGACCTTACCTCCCACTCCTTGACATTGAGGTCGGTGATGGGCTCGTCCACATCTGTTTCTGTCACTTCATTCTTCTTGACAACCCTAAACCCAGGCTCCTGTCCCATCCCCCTGACCCCCTCACCATACATGTCCGGGCTCCACTGCATGAAGAACACATACAGGTGTTCTGACCTGGGGGAATAAACAGAGAAAACATTTAGAGAAAAGGCTTGATTCCTGAATTATGTTATTTGGTCAAATAAAACAAAAAAAACTTGCACTTGATAAAAAAACATTTATACAGTCCATAATGATCCGCAACAAATGAATATGTAAACAACTAATACAACACCCAAAACAGTTTACTCAATTTTTCGTATGGTGAAGATTTCTCAAACAGCTGTGATTTTGTTCAGTGTCTATCAGTAGATTTTGAAATGCTTTCTTGTCACCTCATTGCTAATTCTGCTGAACTGTTAAAACTGCTTGGCCTGTGTGACTCTGTTCTCCTCTGTTATTAAGTATTGGAAGGAAAATAAGCCATCACTTTGTTCTGAGGTGTGGGTACATTTGGGAACAAATGGTTTTATAATAACACATAGTTGAACATGCATACATTGATCGTGCTGTCCCTTGTGGGCAGCACAACAAGCTGTAAAGACAACATTTACATATTATCACATTATTTAAAGTTGTTTCATCAAACAGGTTAGCCAACACTTGCATATTTACACATCGAACAAAGACAGAGCAACTTTAGCATTTGTTCGGAGTCTTATTTCTGGACACAAGGAGAATCAAATATGAACTCTTTTAGCTCTGTTTTGGTCCCCACCAAATCCTGAAGAAATATGTGTCTCTTTAGCCGCTAAATGCTCCACTATGTTCAGTAGCAAGGTACTGACTTTGTCTGTCTGCTGTTGGGCGTTGGGCCTGTTGCGTTTAGAAATCCCAAAATATATGCTTGGGTAAACAAGCTTGATGAGACTCAACCATATCATTTTTTTAAGTTGTGGGACTTAAACCAAAATAAATTAGGTTTAAGGATCTAAAGTATACCATTGAGTTGATGGAAACCAAAGGCCAGGTAACATGTTTTTACAAGTCACTTCAAGCGACACCTGTCACATTACTTATTTGATACATTGTTACAATGTAAGAATCCATTAGAGCAGCTTTCTCTATTATCTCCTGGGGCTCTGCAAACAGTTTAGTTTATAATAAGATGTTACAGCGCATCTCATAAACAGCTTAAATACAGAACAGTTTGTGTCACATATGGCTATGGCTGGTAGACATGAAAGAGCTGAACAGACTCAGTAGGTTGAGCTGTATTCAGTGCGTTTAATAGCCTCGCTTTCCCCCCACACCACTGCCAGGACAAGACACATCATGCGGGTCGCCTCCCATCTAGGTCAAGCTACAGAGCGTCTCGCAGTGTCTGAAGAAAATAACTAAGAGCCGCCGTGTTGTCAGTCCAAACAGCTTATGATCACTCCTCCCACACACCTTAACTTGCCTACAATGCCAAGAAACACAAGTAAAAAATAATGAGTAGTAACATGTCTTTTTAATACTAGCTTTGAATCTGCAATGCCCCTGAGCTATCCTCCCGTAGCGCAGCGTTGCATCACAGAAAACTTGTTTTGCCAGGTGGGAAATGTCGTAGCTAAGCAACCTGTGGATGAGAACAACAAAGCTGTAAGGAGCAAGACTTTTGAAGTTCATAATGAATAATGAAGTGAGGGGGGATTTCAGTGTCAATACTGCACGCAGACGCTCAACACACCGCATATCCAAGGAGCATTTATAGCACCATGACTAACTGAACCTGTGTGTTTGATTCCAATGTGATTAGCAGCCTAACAGAGCAGCATGTGTGTTACTGCTGGAAAAGTACACACACGTGCACTGAACATGAGGTGCTCTGAAACTCAAACCCAATAATGGACATTAGAGATGTCTTATTTAGCTTTTTGTAGTTTCCCCTTTTCTGTAGTGTGTTATAAAGGTTTTTTAGCATGAAAATTGTCTGCAAAGGCTGAAATCCCAAAGTTTCTTCCAACCCCCCTCCCCTGCCGGAACTGCCCAAGTTGTAGTCCTTTGTTCACTTTCGTAACATAATGACATCACTTTGTAACATTCACAGCTCTATTGGCCAGCTCTCCAACACATTGTACGTGATTGTGTCGGGGCAGGACATCTCTAAATGGTTGACCAATCACAACAGAGTCGGCCAGCTAACCAATCAGAGCAGACTGGGCTCTGGTTTCAGACAGAGGGTGAAAAGAGCTGCTGCAGTACAGGCAGTATGAGACAAATAAAGAGCTTTTTGAACATTAAAGCATTTGAACATGTCACAGTAGAGACACAAAATATAAATATGAACCTGAAAATGAGCAGAATAGGACCCTTTAACTTATCAGATTCACCTGATTTGTATTATTTATATGGAGAGCCTTTGTTTCCTTTTCTCTAAAAAGATTACATAGACCATTGTGCTGCAGCCAGAATGGCTTCTGGCTTATTATTAAATCAAGTTATTACTGCAATTGGGAATCATTCTCCATTTAAACACATTACGCATTTTTCATGTAATGTGTCTCCTGCCAGTGTGAAGGGTTCTAATGTAATTAGGAGTTATGCTGGCTTGGAGCGTTCCAACTTTGAAAACCCTATAAACAAGCCATATTTCCACTGGATAAAACATGAAACATTTCAGCGTAGGTCACAAACCCATAACAACTCTTTTGAGGATACAAAACATAGCGTTGGAAACGTGCTTATTGTTTTGGGTTGTGGCCCAGTGCAGGAATAAAGTGCATGTGTGTTTCCCTGCAGAGTGAATGGATAATAAATAGGGAGTCAGACCAGACAAATAACGCATATTTGATTGGTTTCAAATATTTAAAGAACTGGAAAAGAGCGGCTTCAGGGACTCAGCTGACTTTTGTAGTGGGTTATGAATATGGTAGGACTGAGTCAGGTCAAATCCCTGCAGCTCTCTTCGATTAAAATCAGTCTGCTGCACTGAAAGCTGAATAATCAGAGGCTACTATATCATATACTCTGCTTTGTATTTTTTTCATTTAAAATATTGTTCCATGTCATCAGTTAAAGCACTGGTTTTCTGGTTTCAAAGACACAGTTCACCCCAAAATCTATTTGCTAGAAAAATAAATAGTTCCTACATGAAACTGCTCAAACAAGGTTTGTTGTTGTAAATAACCGGGTCATGATTTCTGGGAAGAGACATTGCTGTTGAGTTTTTCAAACATTTATTTTGTTGCTTTGAGCACCAAAAGCCATCAAGTTTGACTACAGGAAAGTTGGAAAATACCCTTATACCCTGATGAACTAAAGCCCTGCTATGAAGGCTACTAGAGGAATCATTTGATTGTATTCAAAAGTGATGCCAAGGGACCCACCTCTCCTGCGGCACAGCGAACCAGTACTCGTGCTTCTTGCCCTGCTGGGCGTACTGCTGCATGGAGGCGCTGGCGTTGGAAACAAACGTCTTCTTCATGGGCTTCCCCACCCGCAGACACAGGAACTTGTGAGTGGGGTGCTTCCTTCTCTCTGCAGACCCTGTACCTGGAAGTGGAAATAAACACTAAAGGTCACATACAGGTCATTTATTTTTGTAACAAGCAGGATAAATTATTATAAGAACAAATATTGACATTTCTGGGAAAATGCCTTTTAACTTTACTGCTGAGAGTTAGATGAGAAGATCAATGCCACTTAGTCGCTAATGGTTAGCTTAGCTTAGCATTCAGACTGGAAACATGTTCAAAGTCTAGCTCTTGCTTTGACACTTAGGTTTTGTACTGATGAACCTAATATAAAAAGTAACAACTAAAACAATCTAGTGAGCCTTACAGGTTTTGGTTGGCAGATTCTGCTGACCTTGGACAGAGCTAGGCTAGCTGTTAATCCGGAAAACCCTGAGCGTTTTATCCTGTTTCAAAAGTCTGTCATAAAAAAATCTTCTTTATTAACTGTGTATTCAGCTTTATTTATGTGACCTCATTTCTATCTTCTAATACTGGCTACTTCAAGTAGCATTAGTCATTTAGTGGCAGAAACACAACAGATGACAGAAATAAATGGAGTGGCACACTGTAATTGACGGTGGCACTTATTCTTCCGCCTGCGATACATTATCAGAGGTCGATGATAAGGCCACAGCCCCGGGAAGCTGGATGACATCACTGCACCAGTGACATTACACTGGCACATATTGTTATCCCTGGTTTAGAGAACTAGCAACAATGCTAGACAGAATAATATGAATCAGCTTTGGCAGCACACTTATTGAGACAAATTCAATTTCCAAAAAGCATTAATGCCGTATTAATGCAGCTTGTTTTTCGAGGCTGCTGCTGTTACTTGTGTGGGCTGTGCTAATGTGCAGCCCTGCTCAGATCCCCGTGAATTAAAAATGCTTTAGCCGCCTGACTCTCTGTGACAATAATTGCCAGGGAGAAAAAAAGCAAATTTCTCTCCCGCTGTCTCGCTCTGTTTCTTCTTGGGGAGAGAAATCTCTTTGGAATCACAACTACGTGCCCAAAGAGAGGGTTATATAGACACAAGGGAGTCTGTGAGTGTGACATACTGAGGCCACTGTCAGATAACAAGACCAGAACTGTGCCACACAGATGCTAATAAGGGATGCTGCCTTGGTTTTGGACGTATTAGCCAATTCTCTTTAATTGCATAACAGCCATTTTCTCTTTTGCTTATTTTTTTGTAACTACCCAATTTCCAGGCATTCGATTTATTTCAGTCAACTGCACTTCATCTTACTTTGAATATGATTCTATACTTATATTATCACTGGTGCAAATAGAAATGCTACTTGCTGGTGCATTCAAACGATACGTAATTTACAGCTTATGCTTTCAGGAAATCAAAGCTGGAAGACTATAGTGCGATGATGAGAAATTGGTAAGTTTAGCATGTTATTGTTATTTTAAACATTAGTATCGGCCCAGAATGCCGTTTGCTAGATGAAACCATTGGGGCTTTCTTATTCGGTAGAATTTTTTTGCAAATCATTTATGTTATTTGAAAACGTTTTCTAGAAAGGATGTTACTGGAAGATGTCTCGTCCTGTATTGAACAGAGATACATAAGATCTAAACTCATCATTTAGCTGTACTGAAGACCTTTGTTGGCAGGTCCAAACATCCAAAGCCCCTGGTGTGATCCTCTAATCTTCAACATGGCAGTGAACACAAAATAAGTTTATTCCAGGCTTTGAGGAATTTAGTATTTGTCTAAATCCACATGAAAGCACTCCGGAGAAGGATGTCACACATAAATAACACCTTTCTGTACGCCGCCTCAGAACCTGTTTTGATGTCGGGTTTCATCGCCACTGTGGGTGTTTGTTGCATTATGGTGTTTGATAGGCTTCAGCTTATCGCCCAAAGGAGAGGCCCAGACCACCAGAGCCCGAGATCAAAGTGCTGCATAAAGCCCCATAAAGCCGGACTAGCTCCACCAGGCTGATAACACGGAGAGGGCTGCTGCTTGCCTTCGTCTTTACATTCCAATTACTCTCAGCACGGCGAGTAGAAACGGAAAGGTTATCGGGAAACCAACATGAAAAAAGTGAGAGGAGAGGAACTCGCTTTGATAGTCCTCAGAAGATATGGATGGAGCTAAACCTGAAGCCACATTCATCACCTGTAACTATTCTTTCACTCAGTAAATGTGTTTACCCTCTGCAGAGTTCTGCGTGGCTTCATTTTGTGTCTCCTCTCCTTCCACCTTCTCCTCCTTGTCTTGCTTAGTGTCTGTTTTGGAGACGTCTGTCCCCTCGTTGGCTTCCCTCTGTGGACTGGCTGAGACAGAGGCGGTGTCTGTGGCACCGGGGGTGGCTGAGCTTTGGGACCCTGGGCGAGAGGTGCTGCTGCTGGGGCCGGGGGCCTGGCTAGTGCTGCTGCTGCGGCTGCTGGTGGTGGTGGTGGTGGGGGGTGTGCTTGGTGGCTTCTCTACACTGTGCTGCTTGGATCCCATGGGGGACTGGCTTTTTGGGGCAGTGTCTGGTGGATTGTCCTCTGCGGGGGTCTCCGGCAGACTGACGGAGCCGCGGGCGCTGCCTGGGGACTGGGACCCGGCAGTGGCGGCCCCCACCTGGGTGACGGTTTGCACGGACTCGGTGGAGGCGCCTGAGGACTTGTCCAGGCGGAGGTCCTCGTTAGACGCCTGCTCCTCCTCACGGATGGGGGACAGCTCCGACTCGGTGAAGACGTCCTCGGAGAAGGAGCCCTCGGTGCTGCGGGGGGCCGTGCTGTCGCTGGCCCCCGGCTCCCTGAGTCGCTGTTCCGGCTCCTTCTGGGAGGGGTGTCTCTCAGTGGGGAGGGGCTCCAGGTCACTGAAACAAGGAGAGGCAATAAGACACATGTAACTATATTCATAATAAAGATATATCTGGACATGTTGATATTTGTTTTACATGAAGAGGAGAGATACGTTTAGCTATCATTGTTAGGATGATTAGAAATATAAAAAAAGACTGTAAGTAATGCCTGAGAAAATAAACCTGATGTCCACATTCCCCCCCTAACATAGTCTAAAATGCTATCTATTGATATTTTCTTCCAATATCACTGAGCAAAATCTTTAAACCAACATCTACTTGTCTTGACAACTCCCACATATATTTGTTTTGAGAAATGGTAGCCTGAGAAAAAGACAGTTTGCTTACACAATGCCTCTATGTTTCTTTATGAAGAACAACTGTGCTTATGAAATACCAGGGGGCCTTCTTTTCACAGTCTGGGTTATGTCGATGATTAGCATAAACATTTATTTTGATGCATTTTTATTTCATGTGCAGGAAGATAAGACATTGCATGTATTTGACCCATAGAGCAAACATGAGAACAAGGCTCTATATTGAAAGCATAGAATGTATATTTGAATGCTGTAATGGATGTTGGATTAAACATTTTGGCTTTAATGGGTTTCAGAGATGACATTTGTATTCCTAAGGGTCCAAGTGTCTGTATTTCACCCTAACCCTGAGCTAATGTTGAACTTTCAAGATAAAAAAAACAACTCAAAACCTTGCCTAAATATATGCCATATGCATTGAAACAGCCCAAAATAAACAATAAATAAATAAAAAGATGTCCATAGTGAGGCACAAGGGTTGAATCTTCTACAGAAAAGCCTTTGTTACAATTTGGGACCTTGGAGTGTAACATTATTGGGAATTTATCAGGCACAGTGGGTCTAATGAGAGATGCTATTAGGTTGCATTATGGGAAATGTATAATCTAGCATTTGAGGAGCTTGACCCAAACTGAGGATAAAAAGTCAGGGTCTCCGTCTGCTGCTTTGATTTGAACTGTCTTGTAGCCACATAAATATTCACAAATGCATTATTAAAAGTGAGAACAATAAAAAAATGCATGCCCTTCCTTGCTAAAAGCTTTATAATAAAAATTGACGTGGTTTGTTTTTGCAGAACAATACAATTAAAGTCAAATAATTTCAGTCTAATTATAAGAGTTGCTGATGCACAATATGCTGGAAAAACATCTGCTCCAATTCTGCTTATTGTTATTTCAAAAATGGTCCAACTATATAAAATACATTACAAATAATAACTGCACAGTTTACAGATACTTCAGGAAAACATATATTACACGAGACAACATTTAAAACAATGCTTGACTAATTTAGTTATGACCAGAATTGGTTTAAGCCTAAACATGCATTAACAAAGTTTTGAAATACAGAGAGCTGCCCTGATTTTCTTCGAACAGAATCATGCTTTACTGGTTTTGATTATGATTTATGCGCACATCTAGAGGTTTGGGGCATATACGTAGTCTTTCACTGTGAAAACGTTTGCGTCAAGGTTCAGCAAACCACTTGGTGACAAAAGACAGCAGAAGCCCAGCTGAACTGGTTAGATGAGCTCTTTTCAAAGTAATTATGGAAAATCAGTCATGCCGTGCTTGCAGCTCAGACTCTGACCAGAGCACGCACAGCCCAACACACTGGGCAGGACTCCAGCACTAGATAAGGCTTTAAAAGCATTCGCAGAACTCATGTCCCTATATGCATAAATCTGTCGCACCAACTTTCTAAAGATAAGGATACCATTATGTTTTTGTTTCAACATTTTATAACGAGGGCTTCTAGATACGTGCATTTAAACACAGCTATACCCTAGAAAGCAATAGTTTGACAATTTTATACTCAACACTGCTACTGGGTTAGTGTTAAGCTAAAACAACACAGCTGCTAGAGGCTAAAAAGATAATCAAACAAATATTTAGGTTTATTTAATTGTATGCACAAGTTTTTTTTCAACACGAACAAATAAGTGTTTCATGCTAAATAAAAAAAATATGTATTTCTAGGAAACCTCTAATGCTTATTGCAACTATGGCAAAGTGATGTCACCCCATCAAAAGGCCCTTCACTGGGGTTACACGTAGCAGGTTGTGCTTGTACATGCATACTTTGCATTTTCTGACAATGCAGACTGTTGAATAATAATTCAGAAATGTAAAGCTTTGAGAATTCCTTTCAACTGGGAGAAACCCACATTGAGTATAAAAGATCAAACGTTTCCTTGTTACCATCCTGCATCAGTTAATGTCCGTGCAGAAATCATAACTGAGGCTTAATGAGGGTTCAAAGACTAGCACACAGAATCACATTCACTTGTGGCCCAACTATGTGTTCAGACGGCGAGAGAGAGTAAGAGGTGAAAGGATATGCGAGTGGAAAACTATATTCAAAGACACTCAAAAGATGCTAAATTTGAATTAAGGTATGTTATAAGGTAAAAAAGCTGAAGGATGAACTAAATCATATATCAAACTTCTGTCATGCAATAATAGTGTATTTGATTCTGCCTGTCCTGTAAAATCTTTAGTGCCTTCGGTTTCATCTCTTCCGACTAGTGCCAACTTGACCTATGTGTGCAGTGACGTCTAGTATAGTCAGAATGCAGTCAAACTGATGTCAGACTTCAAGTGTCAGCATGGAGTCAGAATGAAGTCATCATAAGGCCTGCAAACACTGCTGTCCTTTCTTTTACACTCCCTGTTCAGCTTAGTTAGACCCAAGTAGTTTGTTCAACACTCACACACGTGCAGCAGCAACGCCCTTCAATCTTATTGTTATCATTCGCATTTGTTGCTGAATGAATACTGATTATTTTCTATCACATGACACAGACAATGGATCCTAGCAGGGATAACAGCTGGGCCTGCTCATTGTCCAGCACAATATCTGCTCCACATACAACACTCTTCCAGATAAATACCGAGCTGCTCAGACCCTAATGCCACCAGAACAAACCGAAAACAATAACTTCATACGGTTCCACTTATACCAGACTAGATTTGTTCTTTCATATACTCCAACAACAACAACAAGAGAGAAACAATTTAAACCAAGAAAAGAAAAACTCAGACAAATGTGTGGGAGGAAACAACAGTGAATCCTCTGAAGTGGCTGCTTCCTAGTGCATAAAGAGGTGAGCAATCACAACGTAGGAGGGTGAAGGCATACTTCATTAACCCTGCTGTAATTGCCGTTTCCTTTTTATTTCGGTATGTGGGGGGAAAATTAAACAGAAAATTGCCTGATGCAATCTGACAGTGTGAGCACTAGACAATGACAGCGATTATCACAAGGTTGCTGCATTTCTGTGAGTGGGAGAAAGACTTTCAGAATTAATTTGTTGGGAAAGTATACCTTAAGAATGAGTCAGTGTTTATATTACTTTAAAAACAACTTTTCTGCGGTGGCTGACCAGTGCAAACGGCCCAAAACACTTACATTAGGATGAACACGATGCACTTTCAAAAACAATGAAAATATAAAAACACAAATGTCCCAAAACACATGCACACGACGAGACATGTTCACCAACTTGACAACACATGCGCAGAATTTAGAATACATTCACCAACTTAATGAAACATGCGCAGGGTTTACTAAAAGCGCTGCATAAACTAAACGTTGCAAGAAGCTCAAAACCAAAATAACAGAAATAGAAATAGGGACACTAAAAAGTGATTCACACAGCTGGGACCGGAGAGCTTGTCAACATTCAGGGATTATAAGGTTGGCCAACTGTCAATGTCGCAGAGTTGTTTAATAACACTTTAATAAAGTGTTTTGTCAGTATATTTGAAATGACTAAGTTAGCTATGTGAGCTATCTAGCTTAAAGCAGATCTGCAATGACACTGGAGGGTATCATACAATCACATTGTTAAAATAATCAAATTAAACGCACATTTTAGGCAAGTTTCAAGGGACAGTTAAGTTGGTGACGATGTAAAAATGCAGCGTATTTCTCCTAATGGAAAAGGTTTTGAGCCGTTGTAACGTGTTACTTTGCACAGGTCGGCCACCGCATATTTCTGTACATATTGAACAACAGCGTTTTCATACTCAGGCACAGCCTCTCTGATCTTGCGGTCGGTGATCTCCTTGCAGACGGCGACAGACTGCACTTCCTCCAGAGGACACATGATGCCGTACTCCTCGCACCCGTGGGCCTGAACCAGGGGGTCCATCCGGTGGGGGTCGAACATGATGTTGTTGGGTGTCACCAGCAACACCCCGCTCACCGCACCCTGAGTCAACACAGGGAAAAAAGAGAGGGATGGGTGAGAACAAATGGGATCCATTATAACAGCTTAGAATGTTTATGTAGCACCAAAAGATGATCAAAAGCACCTCCGTCACATAAACCACTGAGAGGCAAATCAATTTGAGACCGCAAATGTCCTAAATCAAGTAGGAGGTATCGACTGCCAGCAGTGGACACTTCAGAGCTTTCGTTTGGTACCTAGGAGTGAATCAGCAGTTCAATACCATGGATCTGTGTGTGTGTCTGCGCACTCATGCACGTACACATGCTAAATCTTTAATCTCAAAATCAAACTTTATTCATACTGTCCAAAATATTTAATTTTATATTGGCTTAAAGGTAGGGTAGGTAAGAATGGAGAAACCAGCTCGAGATCGCTAGAATTTGAAAATACACAGCCGAAAAAAATCTGCCACTTCCTTACAGAGCCCCTCCTCCAACACACACGAAAGCGCACATGACCAATGAGGGCACGAGATAAGTTTGTGCACGAGATGGAAGGCTGACAGGCAGGTAGGCCATCCAGTTATTTGCCGCGGGCCGGGGCACATGATTGGTCGTGCTTTTTCCAGCGCCACGGCTTCCACAGATGAAATATTTGTATATATTTATTGTCAAAGCATTTAATGTATTCATTGCTATCGGGATGTTAAGAGCATTCCATGGAATATAACAAAAAGTGTTTCTGAAGTGAATTACCTACCCTACCTTTAAAGTGGCTTCACAGCCTGTACAGCATTCAAGACCCTCTGTCCCTTGCATTAGACAAAGATAAACTCCCCAAAAAAACAACCAAATCACATTCAAAACCAGATCGGAAAAAAGCAGAAGTAACAAACAGATCTGAGAAAAACATTTAACTGTACTGAGGAGCATTTGAGATGCTGCATTTAGATAACTTGGTTAACATCACTTTAAGGAGCAGCAGACTCCCTGGTTATCGGCCATCAGAACAACATTAAGTATACACAGCAGAATTAAACCGCCGTCAGCGGGAGAGATGCTTCTCTTCATGTGCCGCTCTACAGGGTCATTCATTTTGGCTCATCAGTGTTTGCTGGGCTCTAATTTGAACCTCCTTCCAGGTTTCCTATATAACAAAAACGCATCTTTTTTATGAGACATGTGATTTTAACACATTTTGGTGTATTGATTTTCTCTTCCGCTGCCTTGTTTGTGTCTGCCTCAGGTAGTGATTTCATATATTGCAGGAAAACACATAATTAGCAACAAACACAACAAGATTATTATGTTTTCATGTTACAAAATCCTCTAAAAAAAGGTTGATCTCAGGCAGCACAGTGTTCTGGATTCTGATCTGCTATAGTTGAGTACTCGTGTGTTATTGTGAGTGTCAATGACTGAATCTCAATGGAAGCACTTGCTCTTCTAAGGTACAGTATTGATGGTTTACAACAAAGAAACACAAACAAAGTTAAGGAAAAACAGCTTTAATGTTGAGTTTTATTTATGGGGGCATTTCTTTTCTTTTCATTTTAATTCCCAATCTATACAAAAGCCTTTTGAAATGTGAAGTGTGTCAAGTCCCTGCAGCTGGCAGCTGTTCTGTATGATTATAGAAGTAGTTTGACACCAATATAACCACTTCTTCCCTTTTTTATTCCATCACTTTCGTCTACAGCAGCTGTCTGCCACATGACCATCAGCAAATAGAAGGATCTTTACCAAGGCGCCATACTCATAACTGTTTCGATATTTTAAGGGGCCCTATTTTGCTTTTTGGGGGGTTTTCCTCTCCTGTAGTGTTCTATAGGTTTTCGTGCATTTAAAATGGTCTGCAAATGCTAAAATCCCTGTGTTCCCACCCACTCCCCTCCCCCGCGCTTGAAACGCCTCAATTTGTCTCCGTATTCTTCCATAACATAGTGACATCACTATGTCACACTCCCGCTTCTATTGGCTAGTGCTCCAACACATTGTACGTGATAGGCTAAGGGGCAGGACATCTCTAAGCGGTTGACCAATCACAGCTGAGCCAGCCAGCTAACCAATCAGAGCAGACTGGGCTCTGGTTTCAGACAGAGGGTGAAAAGAGATGCTGCAGCACAGGCTGTATGAGAACAATAAAGAGCTTTTTGAACATTAAAGCATGGAGACATGTCACTGGAGAGACACAACATACAAATATTAAACCTGAAAATGAGCATCATAGGGCCCCTTTAAGTTGGATCTCACCATTGCACCAGTGATGTACTTGCAGTTGATCTTGAGGAACTTCTCTGTGAGGGCCTCTTCCTCCTCGGAGGTGGATGACACCCCTCTGGACTGGCGAAGGGCGGAGAACACGGGAGGGTGAGCGGCATCTGGTCTGGGGGGGCCATCGGAATCCTTTGGGATGGAACGGGAGGGGGTGTGGACACCATTTGTTAGTTCATACTCTAACAATAACCATCTTCTGTTCTTTAGGCTGAACAAGCTCTCCTTTCTCACAGCAAACCGAAAAGAGAACATTTGATAGTCTGGGGTTAAGTGATGAATCCACTTTATCCCAGTGCCTACACATCTATATGAATGCATCATGTCCAAATCTCTAAATAGCATTCAAGCAAACAGACTAAATAATAAGCACTGCCGAAACAACTAAGCTTGGTTCACTTGGTAATACACGCTGTAACTAATTTGCGTCTCATTTCATCAAACTAATGCGTTTGAGCCTCTAAATGAAGTGTCTATATATAAACAGATATTTTTCTGCACAGCGGGACAATCGGGTTAAAAGCAACCCGATGAATGTGCCTCCTGTGTGTCTGTGCTTCACACGGGCAATTAGGTGAAAAACATTCATACGAGACCAAAGATTTCATTTCATTTAACTTGATGCCTGGTTAGTGTTATTTGGACTCAATGTGCCCTAGAATCAGGGGAGGGGTTTGAAGCTGTTGAGCCAGACTGAGGCACATTTTTATGTTTAAACATTTAAGCCCTACTTTTCTCTAAGAACAAACTGCTCATGATAACTAGTTACCATTGTTGATTCACTTTGATGCCAGAAACTGAAAATATTATTTAATAAAAATATTGAAACATGAAACCATTTCAAATGATTGCTGCCATTTTGAAACTCCTATTACTGTATAATAGACGGATTATGACACAGTGGGGCTGCTGCACACACACGTTTGTGGTCATTTTGTGCCTCCGAGTTATTTTATTGACTTTCTAACTCCAGGGGTGGATTCATACAGTAATCCATCATTGAAACAAACAAGCTAACTATTTATCACCTTCTGACTCTGGTTTGGGGTCGGTATTTAAGCAGAAGCAGTTTATACACTAACAAACATCTGTCTAAGTTTGTGTGAGTGAGTGCATTGGTGTATTCTTCATGCATATGGACACATCGACTAGGAGAATCCACAAAAAAATAGCCTTAAATAATAATACCTGTGCCTAAATATGCAAGCATTGTATACTTTTGCGTGCGGCAATTCTTTTTTAAACAAATATATATAAATGTTTTGACTGTAATGATGACAGCAACACTGTGAAATAATAATATTAAAAGATCATTTAAATGTAATGCTGATATGAGAATGATTTTTATATTTTTGACATTGGAGAAAAATGCTATCAAACATGTGGCTTTGCCCAGAAGTTCTATACTATACATGAAAATGTTTAACCTAAATATTATTTATTTTTCAGTTGCATTTTTCTCTTTTTCCGTTTTCATTTATAATAATTATTGTATTTTATTAGATGTGTTTCTTGATTTTTAACAAATTCAATATATGTATATATGTAGATGTAAGGGTTTATGGAATTGATTAGTAATTCTGTACTTTGGATAAGTCTGTTTCGCCAAAAACATGGGGAGTGTGTGTTATAGTGTGTCTTTTGAACCGCATCTGTGATTTATTGCATTTTATATCACTTTATATGCCATTAAAAAGAGCTTTTCCAAAAACAAACAATTAAATCCCAAATATTTCCTTTCATAATAACTCTTGTTTGCCTGCAATCTGCCAGATGCTCAGCGCCAAGAAGCAGCGCAAATGATGTCTCAACTATGTTGTTCTAATGTATGTTGACACACACCCTAAAAAGGCACTTTGTTACTGCTTCTTCATCTCAGCCATGGTAACAGAGCAAGCTGCCACAGATGGTGTGTCTGCTGGGCTGGAAACACAAGGGGTGGTGGGTTTGGTGTTTCTACTAGTGGCCTGTTGCCATGCAATATCTGAGACTGACTGAAGTGTGTCTTAATAACCATCCGCAGGGACAACTGTCTGACCGGGAGACATTTTGTGGGACAGAGCAGAATGCAGGATGGGCTTTCTGCGACACTGAACCACTGCTGGGGGAGTCAGATCGGATGGAAATAAGTCAAGGATGGAGGGAAAAAAGAGGGATGAGGAATGCATTGTAGAAACTGTAGCAAAAAGCAGTGCAAAGCTGCGGTGGAGAAATACAAAGACAAGGAAATAAAGGGAGCTAAAGGCAATGAAAGAGAGTGATTGGAGTGAGGACAAAGAACAAAAGGGAAAAGGAGGACAGAGAGGAGTGTGTGGGAGTTATAATCGAGGGGGATTTGGACGGTGGAGAAGTGCAGTGAAGAGCTTAGAGAAGAGAGCCCGAGCCCACTTTCTGCTGCTCCTGACTCCCACCCACACCTCCCTCTCTCCGTCTCCCAGCGCGGTCCACAAACAGCCTGAGGCTACTGACCCGCACAGACACCAGCAGCCCAGACACAGCCAGGGAGGGCTGGGGGGGCCGGGCCAATCTGCTACAGCCAAAACAAGTCTCGACGTACAAGCCAAGGAGAAGGAGACCTAATGTTAAAGAGAGGAGCTAAAGGTAAAGTTTCAAGAACATCCTTAAAACAAAAACAGAGCAGGATCCCTGATCTGAGGACCAGCTGTTATGAGGACAACTTTTTATGTTTTAACCAGCTTGTCATCCACTTAAACTGAGCACACCTCACCTACACAACTGCACTTAATCGCTCCACTTCACAATGACTCATCCACGCTCACCTTCCTTCTCCAAGGTTAAATATGTGCAGCCTTTTCCACCTAGAAAGTTAACACTGACTAGAACACACCTGGGATACACAAGTAGTCCACATGTGCGGCAGACACCTGGGTTGAAATGAGCAGCTAGTGCATCAAAACATGTCCTCCCTCATAGAGATGCACAACAAACACATCATTATTTCTCATTAGATCTGGCACATGTCAGAAAGGGGTGTTATGGGTTGGCAACATAATAACATCCATCATAGACTCCACATAAAGCACTGTGGAGATGCGCTCACTGTCCATCAGCTGACAGCTGTTGCACACAAAGTGATGGGTTATGACTTATTTGGGTAAAATGCCAAATGTTGACTTGCAAAGCAAACACATAATAGTGTTGCAATGCACGCATGTTGCTGTGTGGGATGATAAGAGGAAATACAGGGAATAAAAGTGAGATTAAGTTGGTCTGTTTAATTGGCTGCCAATGGTGGCATATTGTCAAAAGCTGACAATCTGTCCTTTTATTCATCTTTTAATGTGAATTTTAGTTGGAAATTTCCTCATTTCCACCCCGAGGTAGTATCCTTAGACAGAATCTGCAGAGTCATGGTACATCAGCGACTCATCACCTGATCCAAAGCCTCAATCATGTTTCACAAATCAAGCTGCCAACTCCTCTTCCCCATGACTACCTGCTCTGCCTTCTCCTTCCTGCTGCACGCTGATATTGGCTGCTTCTGCTGCTTTCTCCCCCAACAACTTCACCTCCAGCACCAACTATTGTAACTGCGAGCATGTTGGCATTCTGACATTAGCATTCAGCTCAAAGCAATGCTGGGCCTCAAAGGGTTGCTGTACACTCCAACAGTGTAAGGTTTACTGACCAGATCCCCTACCAAACTTCAAATCCTGCATCTCCGAACACACAGGAACACTAGCCAGTGACCAGAGGAACTTCAGATCATACTGGGATTATACTGGTAAAGTATTTCTGGATTTAATACATTTAAAAGTACATTATTATTCCAAAACGTTATGGAGTGAACACTGCAATGCGTTTAAATCTGAATATTTCACTCTATTTGGTACAGCGGTGGATACTTGACGGATCAATAAAGTTTTATTCTATGGAAGGGAAGACAGCATTACCTTGCCACAGCCACAGCTCATATTTCAAGTGAAGATTGCTTTCCCGGGGTGCTGCTTTCTTTGCCCTGAAGTCCTTTAATATATGACTAGTGTTTGTCCTGCACTGGCCTCCTTGAAATCCAATATTTTTCAGCTACTGCTGGAGTTTGGTATTGTGAAGGATGATTCTAAACTTGCCCGTCTCTTTATTATGACCCATAATAACCTTCAGCTTTATGCAGACTTTTCATACAAATCTGTTAACCTGTACAGATATAGGGCAAGGTAAGGTACTGTAATTAAAAGGTAAGTTAATGTGAGTCAAGTAAAGGCAGTTAAAGTAAGGCAAAGTCAGGTAATGTGAGTCAAAGTTAAGAGGAGGTAAGGTAATGTGAGTCAAAGTTAAGAGGAGGTAAGGTAATGTGAGTGGAAGTTAAGAGGAGGTAAGGTAATGTGAGTGGAAGTTAAGGCAGGTAAGGCAAGGTAGGCCAAATTGAGTCAAAGTAACGGCGAGGCAAGGTATTATAAAATCAACGTAAAGGCAAGGTTTGGTAATGCGAGTCAATGTGAGGCAAGGGGAGTCAAACTGGAGGAAAGGTTATACAGAGTTAAAGTGAGCTCAAGGTTAAGTAATGCGAGCAAAGTAAAGACAAAGTAAGGTAATATTGAGTCAGTGAATGCAAGGTAAGGTCGTAGAGAAGAAACAGTGTAGAGAACTAACGCAACCTCAGGTAGACCTCATTGGAGGTAAGCCAAGACTTGGCAATGTCCTGAAGTGACCAGATTCCAGTCAGTCTTGGTAACGGGATTTATTTCAGCGTGTATTACATCAAAGGGAGGCAAAAGGCATAGTGCAGCATAGTACACTGGCTAGAGAACTGAAATCCAAAGACGAAAGAGCTGCTGTGAGTAAATGCTGTGTGTGTGTTGGGTGTGTGTGTGTGGAGATTAGGAAGGAAGGTAGCATGGACAATTGACAAACAGGAAAAGAAAAGGAGAGGAGGGGTGCTGGGCAAAATAAGGCGTGACAGGGCCACCAGGAGCTGGCCTGTGGAGGTGGACGGAGCACGGCATCACAGTGATCTTCTCTACAGGAGGCTGGGGGGGGGGGGGGGGGGGGGGGGGGGACTGACACTGATGCTGCAGACCGGAGACGAGTGAAACTGTGTTAGATGAAAGTGGTGGTCGGGCTACAGAAATCAATATTTCTTTCGGTTAAAGAAAAAACAAAACTGAAAG